GGAATCTTGAGCACCAACTTTTGAATGTTTCCTGGCTGATCAAACTTAGAAATGTACTGGCTACCTGCCAATGCGTTCTTGCAACTTGCGAGAAAGACTGAAAAACGATTCAAAGCCACACCATCTTCTGCCTTTATGCTCGGCCAGTCGAGGGCCTTCATCTCGTAAGCGGATGCTATGCGATAATCGTCACCATACTTCCTTCTCAAAAGCCTACGAGCCTCATCGTAACCTTCTTCCGCTGGTAAATGATGACAGGATCTTACAAGTTCCTTAACGTCCCCTGCGGTGAACTGCTCGAGGTAATAGAGCCTATCAGTACTGCTAAATGTTCTGGATTCAACCAAATTTTCAAAGGCGCGAACGAAGGTGCGGTACTCAATAGGGTTTCCGTCAAACACAGGAACACGGGGCTGCGGAAGTTTGTTCCTATTCTGATTATGCGCTAGCAATTCCATTATTCTATTCTGCTGAAACTGAAGAGCAGTCTGTTGCCGCTGCAAACCAATCGTTTCCTTTCTCAGATCCTCGCCGACTGTACCCGCTTGATAATCAAAGTGGCCGTAAGGAACAGAATCCACGGACACGCCCTGGCCTGGGTGGTGCACCTCGCCTGGAAAAGACCTTTTCGCGCGGGGGCTGGTACGAGGGGGATCCTGATCCTGGAGCTCTGTCTCCAATTTTAAAGGCTTCACCTCCGGTAGAGAAGGGGAGGTCATTGCTGCGTAGACCCTCTCCTTAGCTGTTGTCTTGACTATTTCGGCTTCGAGGTTAAGGCGTAATTCTTCCTGCTGTAAACGAAACTTTTTCTCTTCGAGTGTTTGGCGCTTTTCGAGCATAGAAATTTCAGCTTTTAACTCGGCAATTCTTGCGGCTTCTTTGGCTCTCGCGGCTGCAACTGATGAAGCACGGCCACCACGTGAACTTGCTCGACTAGAATGTTTTGAAACCTTGGAAGCAACTGAAGGAATTGGCGTACCAGCACAACTAATTGAATCCTCGGGATTCACCGCCGAATCTACTTGAAGCGATTCTGCTAATAGCTTGTGTTCAATATTAATTATCCAATCGACGATCTCCTGACGGAACACATGAACCTTTCTCTCTTTGTCTTCAAGATAGCGTTGACCCTCAATAAGGGCGTTCTCATCCACAATTTCTCCCACGTAGTCGCGATGGGCCTCTTTGAATCTTTCAAAAGCGTTGTCCAAGTAAGGAAGCTTCTCTTTAACCTCCTGAAGATTATGATCATCAGTAAGCAAGCCAGAAATTTCATTGGAAATGGCGGTTACGGTAGATAGGTGACCAGACCTTGAATTTTTCTTTAAACGAAGTGTTTCCAGGTAAGACGCTTCAAAATCCAGCGAACGGTTTGGTTGTCGCACGCGTGTTCCAACTCGCCGGGCGACGGGATCTGTAAGCTGCTTGCGGCTAAAGCTCATGACGAAACGACATGTCACCAACAATTTTCAACGATGAAACTGCAATAAGCGTGTAAGTCTCTTGGCCTTTAATAACAACACCACAAACCAAATTCGAATTAAGATTTATTGTAGCCGACGTGCTTGGTACTAAGAGTGTGCATACAAACAGCGTGGGTTGAAACTAAAACGGTAAAAAAGCAAAAAAGTTACAAGTTGCGACTAAGGTAAATTAGAGTAAGGAAATAACAAAGCTGCAAAACGAGGACTGTGAAGTACACTTACATTGTTTCGGCCAGAGAAAACTGCTGTAAAGCGGACTGCGAATAACGCGAAGAGACTTGCAAGAAACTAAACAGAACTGCGCTAAGCGCGGACCAAAATGAACTGCCCAAACTGTACTGCAAAACTACGATATGAAAAATACGCTAGAACATGCGGAAAATAAAACTATAGAAACTTAGAAAGGCGCTAATGAAGATGAAACAGCAAAGAAAGGCTAACGAGGGCGCGAAAACTGACAGAAAGGAATAAACACCTAAATTAACGCCAAAAAAAAGACTAAACAAAAGGACGAAAAGAAGTATAAACTAATTTGCGTACGCAAAGGAAAAACAAATTACGCAAGAACGAATAATAGAAAAAATGTTACACTTGGATCTTACACTCTCTGTCCAGTCCCCAGAGCCACTCGGCTTGTAACGAGAAACGACGGGCTCTGGGGAGAAGAATGCTCTCCGCCGGCCTGACCGCCTTCAGAACCAACTCGATATCTTACTGAATATTACCTAATCCCTCGGGATTTTAACATCTGGAGCTATAACGAGTATGTTCTTGGTTTATCGGCACTGCAGTTGTTTACACATACATACACATACATACATTGTTTAGATGTAGCCATCACGATACCTGAAGGAAGATCACTGAGGTTATCCCCTATATTAAGATCTCTCCTTGCAGATAACCCACCCAGCCCGGGGAAGGTTGGCCACACCACCGGGGTCTACGACCCTACTCTTTTTGAACAGTGGTGTGGTTTCTTTTACGTTCCACAAGAACCAATGCTTCTTGTGAAATAATTGAAAGTGTTGTTAGAAAGGACTTACTTTTTTCCCTCTTTATCCGAGAAGACTAGAAAGTCTAACCTTTTGCAGATGTCATTACAAAGACAGCACATTCTTCTCAGTTATCTAAAGACCCTGATTGTTGGTCCGGCCGGGATTTGAACCCGCAGCCTCCCTCTCACCCGTCCGGCGCTCTCCCAACTGAGCTAAACAGGCGGCGGTAGTGGCTGGTTTGTTGTAAAAACGACGTCCAACTCAGCTGAATTTTTTCAAAGTCTGTACTGAATGCGCGTTTGGATACAGTTTGTCATAAACGCGTTGTTATGGGAGTTATTTCACATTAAAAATGTCCTAGACAGTTTTTTTCCATCCGATTGTTGTTAAAACGACTGAGATCCTTTTATCCTCACAACCTGAAGCGAGCTAATTCTTTCCGATTATATCTATGCCTTATAGACTCTGTTTAGAGACTTGTCGCTCCTCGTTGCACCCGAGAAAAAACCTCTGGTACCCAGGGTACTGCAATCCTCTCCACGAGTGGAAATAATGAAACAATTAAATTGTCAATTTTTTTAGTTACCTAGGGACACGAAATTTATTACAAAATTGCTGGGTGTACGCATTGATGATACGCTAATTCGGGAGATCGGCTGATCATTTATTAAAATAACTAGGACAGTACGCGCGTTCTGATTGGTTAAAAACCTATGGTTTATTGTGCCGGTAGCCTGAAATTCATCCGATTGCTTCTAGTCGTTTTCTCCTCTCAACAACGTCTGAATCGACCGGCCGTTAATGCCGTCCAGTGACGTCACTCACTACCCGAAAACCGGGTAGTGATTTTGATTGGTTGATTGTCTAAACATTCGCATAATTATATATAATTATGAGAAATTTTAGCGGCATTGTCGCTTGATATTCAGCGGATCGCATCCCTGGAATTCTTTCGTGTGGTTCAAACATTTCGACAAGCTTAATCTTTATCTTAAACGGCAAAATTTCCCTTGTCTTCGAAACTGAAATGCTAATGCTGAATGAAGAATCATCGCGGAGGGGCGGTAGGTTTTTCATTTGGAGCCGGTTTGTGGTTTCGGCGGCCGGTGATTTTGTTTACGCGCAGTTTTCTGAGTTCAATATTATAATTTGACCTTCTTGCTATTTTTACCGTCTCGTGTAATGATTCTGTTAACTTTTCTTTGTTGTTTCCTTGTTTTTTTCTTCGTTAAGGACCAAATAGCTTCTTTTCAATTAAAGCAAATCATTGTGTTTTTGAACTAAGTGTTCCGTGTGTGTGTTTATTTCATTGCGTGATTGCGACCGAGTTTGATTCAGATTATAGAATTCAGTACCACCAGTTCAGAGTTGTACTGCATGCAGTTGATAGTTTGAACGTTAAACATGAATTACGATCGAAAAAAATAAAGCAATTCTGTATCATGCAGACATTTCCAAACGATCGTGTTTTACTTTTTGCATGAATTCAAGCAAAGGTCAAGGAGTAGTGACGTCACTGGACGGCATAAACGGCCGGTCGATTCAGACGTTACTGAGGGAGTAATAACGACTCGAAGTAATCGGAAGAAATTCAGGCTAATTGTGCCGGTAACCTCATAGAAAACTTAATGTTATTTTATGAAAGCAATAGACCACACTTTCTATGGGTTTACAGGCGTTATAACCCACTTGGGATGTTGGGAGAACACGAGAAAAGCTTGTAAGTCACTCGCATTCGGCTCGTGATTTAAAAGCTTTTCTTGTGTTCTCCCAACATCCCACGTGGGTTATCACGCCGGTAAAACCATAGAAAATGTGGTCTATTGCTTAAATATCCTACATCACAAACGTCTCGAATGGCTTGCGTATACTGTATAAAAGTAGATCTCATACTAACGACTTAAGGACATTATTAATAAATTCTTTTTATTGATCACTAAGGTAGGCGTAAGTAGACTATTTTTCGTCTTGTGTGGGAGAATTGCTTAAAATCGCGTGCAGATCAACCCCAAAAGCTGAGCCAAATCTCTAGATTAGAGCAGCGTGTATGTATTACAAAAGCAGACTATTCAATGAGATCATGCGATATACTATTGAAGAGCTAAATTCTAACGCTGCATTGAGGTAATGGAAATGAATAATATGCACGATAAACAAAGTTTATTCTGCGTTCGCACTTAAGTTCTAATCTGAGCTTTTTCATTAGGTACAACCTCAGATGCTGTACGTTCGACATTGAGTTGTTTAAAACGGTATAAAACTTCAACCCGGTTGTAGAGGCTTATTTTGAGCCATGTCACAGAGATTTGAGGACATTTTAAATAGTTCCTGAGAGGCTGTGAGCCGAGGGAACACTCTGATAACTGGATTTTTTTATGACGAAGTATCCAAATTTTGGTTTTAGTTATAATAGTTTTAAATGGTTGTAATATAGTTTGTTGCAACTAGTCATAAATATAGTTAATTATCATTCTTTAGCGAGTTTAAGCAAAGGCGTTTTGATCGACGTTTTCAACCGCTTTCAAAACTGGCCGGCCGGACCATTGCTGGACCAGTCAGTTAGCGAATGAAATCGGCTTTTTCCAAAGGGTTTCTGCTGAAAACCATCTCCTTCTTGCATACTTTTAAGGAGTTGACTGATCTTGCTGGATAGTTTTGATTAAAAGTGAAATTCTCATTACGAAAGGAATGGTTTTGCCGGTCAGTTCTGACAAATGGAAAGCGCCCTTGGCTTAGTTTGTTTAGCAGTACATTTATGTAACATAGAGACTCTGATTTCATCCGAAAATTTGGGCAAACAAAAAGACTACTCCCTTTGACGTGACTCTCTTAAAAAATGTTTTTGCTTTAGCTCACTATTAATTCATTGCCACATCACGGCAGGGTAGGATCTGTTTTTAACTGGAAGTGTTCACCTGGCATACAAAGTTTGTATTGAAGTGAAGAGGGAATATTTGGGTAACAAGGGGGAAGTTTTATCTGGAGGGGATCAGAAGTTCCCTGCACTGGCACCCCAAGAAACCCTCTAGACCCACCCTGTGTTCTGTGCATTAAAAAATGACTCAGTTAAGATGTGGATGCAGACGATTGCTCCCGTGATATAGTAACCTTGGAATCCTCTTCATACAGGGCCCTCTTTTCCTTGTCCAAGGTGTAGAAATAGCTAAAGTTTGACACAATAACTGGGACTGGTAAGGCAAGAGTAAGCACTCCTGCGACTGCGCACATGGAGCCAATCACCTTTCCCCATGCTGTTGTTGGTGTCTTGTCGCCATAACCAACCTAGCAGACAAAGAATAACAGTGAGCCAGTAACAATGGACGTTTACTATGTTAAAAAAGGGCTATATGATGAGGATATTCATGTTTTTAGTTAATTCTTTCCTGAAGTCATTATACTTCAACCTCATCCCCAGGGCTTTTCCCTTAAAAAATGGGTGGGGCGGGAAAAGCCCTGGGGAAGAGGTTGATTATACTTACAATTCAGTATACCTTTGGCGGGCCTTACACAAAATACTCCTGTAGCATGTATGAAGAATGTATCAAACAATTTCATCAGGGACCACTGACCGTAATAAACATTTTTGGTGATTTTCGAAAGCATAACAATAAAACTTGGAAAAACTTGGAAAAATTTGGCCCAGTTTATTCAAGTTTTAATGCATGAGCATTCTTGCTATCCGAAGCAAAAGACAACAGGAAACAGATTCAATGGCTAAGGGCCACTTCACATGAGCCCGTTTGACCGGGCTGGCCCCGTTTCCGAGATCTCGCCTTACCACTAAGTCATTTGTAAAATTTTCGATGTCTTCATATGAGAGGGCGGGCTAGCTCAGTTCCCGAGATCTCAGTTTTTCCAATCGGGATCTCGGTGAGTAGGCTGCGCGAAAGTCAAAATTTTTGTATTTCGCGACGTTTGCTTCGTTTCTTGAATTTCGCGCCAGAACTCGTTCCCAGGATCTTTGCCCTTTTTTGATCTCAGAAACCGGGCTGAAATTTCTCATATGAACCCAAGGCGAAATAGGTCGCGGTAACCGGGCCAGCTAGACCTTTCAGCCGGGTCATGTGAAGAGGCCCTAAGTATAGTCGTAAATAACAAAACTGTACCATTATGTTTGGATCTTAATTGATCGAAAGACACGTTTTGTCTTTAAAAGAAGCTATGTCACGATTTTCGGTATTACTTTAAAACCTTGTTAAAAAACATTGGAATCAAAGAGGGTTCCGTTTGGTGTAAGATTGCTCTACTACCATATACCTCAACTAAAAGTGCATGTTTTTGACTTTCAATTGCTAGGGTGGAAACGGATTGCCACTTTGAAAAAAAGGGGGAGAGGGTAACGTTTTCATTTTAAAATCATGTTGTCGAAACATGTCCAAAAACTGATCATCCTTTTTTCCCTTTGTTAGAATCGTTTGATATCTTTCTTTTACAGTTTCAAGTAATAGAAAAGATGACTAACGTTACCTAGTTATAATTTCAGCTAAGCCGGCTTTAGTTTGTTCACATACCTTCCATTTTCTCTATTTCGATCGCGTCGAGGGCGCGTATGGAAATAAAAACCGTGAGAGATTTATTGATCGAAAAACAAGAAAAAGAAAAACGTCTGTGGACAGACTAGCTAAGCTTTGATCAAAAGAGTGAAACTCACCGCTGAGGGAACTAGAACAGTGATTTTCAAGAAAACGCCTTTACGTCTTTTTTTATCTTCGCATGCAAATAGACCTTTTTCTTAATTGACCTCCAGGCTTCATTTTGGTGTTAAAATTCTTAATTTGAAGTTAGCTTTCGTAAACAAAATAGCGATGATGTTTAGCCGGATCGTAATTCCACATAAGGAAGAAACTATGATTGCATGCTCCATAGCAGCTCTTCAATAATTTTTTTTTAACTGACCTTAGCTAAGCAAAGTTAAGACGTTACTTAACAACTCTAATGAAAATAGCTGCAAAAATTTGTGTGCATGAAAACTTTGCCAGTTTTTATTTTCACTGCCATAGAGTGAAAATAATTATATTTTATCGATTTTAGTATCCAAATTTCAAAGATCTTGTTTTGTTTCATTCGCATGCGTTGTCATTTCGAGGGCAACAATGTCATGCATCTCGAGAGGCAAAGGAATTATTCACTTTTATACTTTTCTTGTTGTCTTGTACGAGAAGGGGCTTTAAAAAGACAGGCAAAAAACTGTGTGACACCCAAAGATAAAGAGTGTTGAAAACGTCGTGCTTTCTTGGTCAAAAATAGAACCCCACTCCGAGAAAATAATGGCGTCTGCGAACACTATACAAAGGATTTTTCAAACTTTTGCTTTGGAAAGCAATTTAGCAACTTAGCAAATCATTCAGTCCAAAAAGCACTAAGAAAAGATATATTTGATACGTTATCTTAACAAACGTGCTTTCTCAGTTCACATGACTTAAAAATGTGTCATATCTGCGAAATTAAATTTTTTTTAAAAAAATTAAAAATCATTTAGTCCTTTTGATGTTGGTAAAGGTAGCTTTGCACCTTATCATTAAGACCTTTTTATTTTTTATAATACCAAAACGCTGTTATCTTCATGACATTTTTCAGCTTTTGCGGTGGAGAATTAAAACCACGATGACAATGAATAGATAGAAAAAAATCTTAGTAAGACTTTTTGTGGATGACTGTGTGAGATTTGCCGTGATATAAAGGAAAATATTCAGTTTTTAATTGTGACGCCAACCTTGATTTAAATATGAAAGCTACCCAAAAATAAGTCAAAATATTGTAGATGAACATCCGGTGAAGAATTCAACTTCTTAATATCAAAATAATCGATTGTCTATTCACGCTGAATCAGAATTTGATCCTTATAGAAATGCCTTGTTCATCGCACTTAACGCGTAAATATTATTTTAACTGCAGGCTACTCGAGGTGCTGAATGCGAAAGTGAGATAAATTTGATGAACCTTGTATTTTTCTTTTTCTTTGAGACAAAAAAATAAATATAGCGCAACGAGGTTTTGGGGCCTTGTATAATTGTATGAAAATATCGTTTTGCAGTAGGCATTTTATTATTTTTTACTAGCCGCCACCTATCCGCGTTTTTAAGAACATTGCAGTTTCGTTTGGTAACGCCACACGATAAGATGAATCTATTCAAACTACATACGAGGTATGATCGGGATATGTCGTAAGTAGGTTTTGCAGTCGCCCTTGGCAAGAAATGCGCTTAACTTTTTGAAATATCGACGTCAGTAGTCATTATTTTTTTTGAAAAAGAATGGCAACAAAAATATCTGAATTGTTATAGGCTGACCAGTTTTTGAGGCTGATCGCCTGAAGTAGAATTTGCGATAAAAACCTTAAAATGTTTATTAATTTGTCTAGCTTTTAGGGTAAATTTTCCTCTGTCGCTTGCTTTTAACTTTTATTCAAGCTTTTACTTGTATTATGCAAATTTCAAACTGCGGGTCGCACGATTTCTATTCATGATTTAAATGGCCTTATTCACAAAGCGTTGATCTAAAAAAGCGGTGAGTTTTTGAGACTACAAAGTTGTTTTAACAACTAAACGTGATTTGCAAATGTGGGAATTGTAAATTAAGAAAATCATTTTTCATTTAAGGGAATCATGTATTTCAATTTAGATAGCTCTTTAACTTTTTGAATTTAATTATCTCTCAGATTATCACTGTTCGCAGATTGAAGCAAAGAAATAATCATCGCCAGCCAATCACCGAAAGCGAGATGAAAGGTGATGAGTGAAGCTGTCCGACGAGTCAAGGTTGCCATGGTAATACTTACCGTTGTCATGGTAACTACTGACCACCAAAAGGCTTCTGGGATACTTCCAAAATTAGCGCTCTCAGCGTAGTAAACCCCGCTGGAAAATATTATGACTCCCATGAGTAAAAAAAATGACAGTAGAAGAAGTTCTCGCAGGCTTGCTTTCAAAGTCATGCCAAGAATCTTCAGTCCTCGGTAATGTCTAGAAAGCTTGAAAATTCGGAAAACTCGGACTAAGCGAAGGATTCGAAAGAAGGCCACGGACGAGCCAGAATCTTTTCCATTTCCACCTGCCGACAGCCCCAATATAATGTAATAAGGCAATATGGCAATAAGATCAATGATGTTCAAAAAGCCGCGAATGAATCGCAGTTTTTGAGGTGCGGCAAGCAGGCGTACAACGTACTCCACAGTAAACCATGCCACGCAGAACATCTCTAAGCCGTAAAGCGCTGAGTTTTTGTCATTTCGGCTCTCCCGGAAACGCGGCAAAGTCTCAATGCAAAATATTACAATTGACAGCAAGATAACAAACACGGACCATATGGCTACAATCTGGGCAAGAAGGGATGAATGGGGAAGTTCCATTACTTCCCATATTTTTCTCTGTAACGGATTCTCGGGCATCGGTCCAGATTCCGGTTCCACGCTCACTTCTAACGCTTTAAAGCGTTCAATAACATCGTCCCCCAACTCAAAAAATTGAATTTCATCTAAAAACGCTTTTCGGTCAACTTCGGCCGGCCGGAGCAATTTACCGTACGACTGATAAAAATAAAGTATAGCATCGAAGGCGATGCGATTTCTGTCGAAAAAGAATTCGCGTTTCTTTGAGTCGAAGTATTTTTCCCGCTTTTTTGGAGATCCCAAAAGTGAATCCGGAAAGCGTGATAGTGTTGACTCTAGAGTCTCATAGATCATTCCACTGACATTGATTTTGACTCGCTCTCTTCGTCTTTTGGCTGATCTTCCCAACAGAGGATATACAGAGATTTTCTCTGGCCTCAGAAATTTCGCTGCCTGTTCAAAGGCGCCGGTTCCAAGATCGCTGTTAAAGCGTCCCCGAGGAATTCGTCCTTCAGGGGAATACCTTCCGCGGAGCGCCGAAGACGAAAAAGAACGCCCGACGGCGTCAATCGAATGGTGTCGATTCCTGCGACCAAGATCTCCTCCTTCGCCAAGGCCATCAGTGTTCAATCCTTGAGCGCCTGAAATAAAAACCGCCTCCATCGATCACTACTTTTGACTTTCGTAACTCGCGGTAAAAAATTAACCGTGTCGTGATATGGTCGACGCGCGGTTGTTTAATACGTTCTCTCTAGCCCGTACAAAGTTTTTTGAATCGGTGGCGACTTTTAAACGCTGATTAATTCCTTTTTTTTCTTGTTGAACCGCACAGATGTTGCGAGCGCGAACTTTCCATAAGTGATCGTTTAGCGCCCAGTGGAGTAATTACCCCAACATACAGCAGGCATTGAATAATCGGCTGCTGGACAGCCCACCGGCCACAAAAAAGTAATCATTAACGCAAGAAAAGAGGTGCCTGTTTGGGCCATAACCCAGTAATGAATTATCACCGAGGAGCGTGGCAAGATCATGGTTTCATGGTCACGTGGTTGATTGATGTTTTCAACTCGCCTTTTCACACAGCTTGTTGTATCACCTGCTCTTTCCTTCATCCAACCGAACATCGTGTTCTTTTTATTGCAGCGGAGTGGAAGCATTAATCGAGTTAAGAGACTGCGAGAATATCAAATGGGAAGAAAAAGAAGAAAAAAAAAAGGAAAGAAAGAAAAAGCAGGAGATCCATTTCACATGTTTAAAATATCGCGCGCTTTGTCTGCCGAAATTATAAGGCAGGAAAAAAGGATTCATATTTCGCCGGGTATACGCTTCCTGTTTTGAAAACTAACTTTTGGCTCGATCGATCTTTTGACGACAGCGGGTATTGTTACAAAATGAATATTTCATACGAAAACGGATAAGCTCTCTATTTGGGGTAAGCTTAAAAAACTTTAAAATTTTAGATTGACTGTGGCTTATAATAAAATACTTTTACCAGTCACGAAAAAAGTGCTTTGACTTTGCACATGATTTCTTGACAACATTGTACAGAACACATTTTCAATTCTCGTACGCACAATTTTATTTTAAAAAGATTTTCTTTGATATTTCTTTTCTTGAGAGTTGAATCAACAAATAGGTTGTTTGTTTTGTGTCAGGGAGCTACCTTAATTATTAATGCTTTCTTTTTCTTTTTTTTTTGTTGACTTTGGGCCGTGAAAACCGGCCAGAGGGCAATATTCACATTATATTCGTTTGCTTTTTCTTGATTAGATCGACCGCAATCACTTAACGTTTTGTACTATTGATTCACCGAATCAGGGAGAAACATGGTCCATATTAACAGAGGCAATTTGTTGGGAAGTTCTTGAAAATTTACATGCAGGTTTAATTCGAAGCAGTCAAACTGAGCTAAACTGCTGTGTTGTGAAAAAAAAAGAAGAAAAAAAAAATTTCTGAATTTTATTCTTTACTCTAAGCTCAGATGCATCTTCATAGGCAAACATTAATAACATCACCAGTGCATCGTTCAGCCGTATGTATTGACTGATCCATTCATATGACCTAGCCATTGACTCATAATGTGTTTAATTGGTAAGGACTTATCTCACGCTGTTGGGGCAAAACATGATGAAGAACCCGGTTAAAGAAAAAAACATCAAAAGTTTGTCCTTTCGATGATGCCGGACCTATTTCATTTTTCTTTTTATTATTTGATCGGCATCTACATCACCACAACCTATTTAATGGCTTAATCTGATCCGTTTTGTTGTTTACAATACATTTTTTACACGCAACTCTTGACTCGCTCACGCGGGCGAGCGAGTGTATCACCTCTAGCAGCTGCGACTAATGCGGCTTGCATTCACGAGCTTAATTTCTTAGAATGGTCGGATTGTTGACAGGCTAAGATGTATCATCTAGCTTTTGAGGCGGAACCCTAACTTAGGGAAATGATTATATCATCGTGCTTTGTGTAATCCAAATGTTAAATGCGTTCAAATTAGCGTGTAGATCTATGTTGCGAGGCCCGATTGAGAGGCCACCTCGAACTAACCTCGAACCCGGGGCGTCTTGGGTCGGAGTTAATCTTATTTAACACGAATGTTCGGAACGCGCGAGGTACCTTGGGAATTAAGTTGGAGAAAAATTTGTGACGTGAGATCATGCTAGTTGTGATAAAAGGGGCTCCGTCACGCTATTTGCTTCTTGCAAAAATCATCGAAAAATTATTATGGTTAGTGCTCCCTGATGAAAATTGTTTGATGGCGTCTTGGTAACTCTTATCCTCATACACAGGAGCATACCTGTATACCCCCTTCATTTTTTTTCACAAACAGTTCAGATGATCACGTCATACGGCGGTGACAGCGACGGCAACGAGAACGGCAAAAAAAGCAATGGGTCTAGAAACAACAGTTTTGCACGTGCATCACGCTTTTTTGTACATTTCTTAGCCGTCCGTTGCACGACTACAACGTGAAAGTGCCTCATTTCACGTTTTGTCGAGGACCGGAACACAAGACAACGAGTTTCTTTTTCTTTTCCTGAACTTTGATACAGTCCTAGAATTCAGCCCCAGAAAAAGTTGCCAGCGTTAAAGGAATTGAACGAGGTGGACTAAGCGCGAAACAGTCCGCTGAAGCAGAGCTACTTTACTTTTTAAATGACGTTTTTGTAGCCGTCGCCGTCGCCGTCGTTGATGCTTAAGCTCGCTATCAGTTGGAACGAGACGGGCGTAAAGAACCTTTGACTGCTGTTCGCTGAAAAGGCCACGATATCATGGTGTATCTGATTTGGGACATCATTGGTCGGGGTGGGCGAGGTGAAATCAAACATGGACTGAAGCGGCTGCATAGGGCGCCTTTACGCGCTGACGTCGGATATTACCTTTCTTGGTTCTTTGCACTCATCTATCGGCTGCAAGTGAAAGTCGGAAATATACGTGTAAGCCTGTAAGTTTTTATGATTTCTTAGAGAGGCAAGACCGTAAAATTTTCAGAAAAGTTTCTAAGTAAAGGACATCCACTTTTATCTATTATACCTCGTGTTAAAATGTCCAGTTACAATCTTAGGAAAGAAACTTGTTTTAAACCTAAGATAAACACTATGCAGTTTTTAAATATGAATTAGCTATGTAATATACTAGATTTTTTAATCCTCACTTTTTACCTTGTTAAAATTTCTTACACTTACTTGTACCAAAAGGCATGTATTTTTATCTTTTGATTTTTACTGAGGGGAGGGCAGGGGGGGGGGGGGGGGTATCTTGGTTCTTTGCACTCATCTATCGGCTGCAAGTGAAAGTCGGAAATATACGTGTAAGCCTGTAAGTTTTTATGATTTCTTAGAGAGGCAAGACCGTAAAGTTTTCAGAAAAGTTTCTAAGTAAAGGACATCCACTTTTATCTATTATACCTCGTGTTAAAATGTCCAGTTACAATCTTAGGAAAGAAACTTGTTTGAAACCCAAGATAAACACTATGCAGTTTTTAAATATGAATTAGCTATGTAATATACTAGATTTTTTAATTCTCACTTTTTACCTTGTTAAAATTTCGTACACTTACTTTAGTACCAAAAGGTATGTATTTTTATCTTTTGATTTTTACCAGAGGAGGCTTGGAACCGAGTCCTCGGCGAACTTTCCCGACAAGCTTGACAGGTGACCTCAAATCCGAAATCGCCGAGGACGACTGGGAACGAGGCTGTTTCGAGGGAACTATGGGAGTCTATAAACCTATTTGCCGTTTCAATAGGACAATTGCACGATGACGATATTTGACTACAACTACCAGAATTCATTTCGGTTTTGCTTTGTTATGTAAATTTATCAAACCCGCAGAAGATTAAAGAACAATAGCCTTAATATGCACAAGAAAACAACAAACTCGAGGATTCTGGTAGTTGTAGTAAAATGACGTCATCGTGCAATTGTCCTATTCCAAATGAACAGGAGCCCATCACCCATGCCAGAAATGGATTTTAAGAATTTTTTTTGTTGGAGTTCTAATCCAAGTAATGATGACCAGGGTTTTGTGATGACATAATTTCTTAGAAGCCAGGTTTGAAAACGGGTATGGATTTTATACGCCAGGTCACAAAATGGGTGTGAAAAATAAAATTTCTTGGTCTGAAATAGGGTCAGGATTTGGAGAACCGCGTGGCATCCCCCCACCAGGAAATCCCAGGAGTACTCCCAGGCTCATCTCCGAAAAAGGTAAAAACAAATAAATAAAAATAAACACGCGGTATTATGTTTCATTAATTGCTTAGTATTTTATTACAATACATAGCATGTTTACAACCGGAACAAAACTTTTCAAGTTCAATGTCACTTAACAAACTTGGATCTGAAAATATCCTTGGAGTTAAAAGTTTATAAAAAGGAGAGTAGAGAAAGGTGAAGTTGATAATTGTTGTACAAAAATCTATGTTTGTTATGAAAGTTCCTTTAAATCGGTCTGGATTAAAAAACAAACAAACAAAAACAGGGAACTCACCTCACAATCAAGGATTTGAAAACCATTGTTCCTGAAAATACTTAAGTGCTTATTTATTGAGAATAAAATTCTGTCATGACTTCTACAAAATCCTTTGAACAAAATTCAATGAAATTAATCAAATTAGCTGGTTTGCGTTGGTCCTGCATCACAACCCAGACCTCTGTAATTCTAATAACTCTGGGAAATATTTACAAATAAATAAAACATAAAACAGTTTGTCTCAGTCTTCAATGTTACAACACTGTTGGCCAATATTGGTTTAGCAAATCCTCTTGGCTTTTCTAATGTTGGAGTCAGTATAGTTACATTCTGGCTGTCACTGAAAATGGTATCAAAGAAGCTGACCAACTTCATTAGAATCTTAAAGGGGTAAGGTGACACCAATTTAAGCAGTTTCAACATCTGCTAACTAATCACAGAATTGACTAAAACATCAAAATAAATATTTCTAATAATTGTAGAAAAACACTAGCAAAATACAGGAAACAAAAAAACAACAAAAAAAGAGCATAAATGAGCTAAAAGATTTCTTCTTTGTCTCACTTAATTTGCGTGACTAAGAAATCATCCATATTTATTACATGTTGATGGTTTCGCCAATGAAAAAAAAAATTTCTTTCACCAAGTTGTAATTTAAAGCTGAAATTACTGAAAATATACAAAATTAAAAAATACCAGTTGTCACCTCACCCCTTTAAAATTGAGAAATACCTGGTACCGATACCAGTCAGCTGCTTTCTTTGAACATAACACATAAGTCAGAGTGTCTTCATACAAATTTACATCACTATACATTATTTCTACAATAATTACACCGTGAAATAAAGCTGCATATTGAACCCATGATCTGACCAGCATTAAAAGTCTATCAATATTGGATGTGGATTGTGTTTTGGTTCAATTTCACCCTTGGTTTTTATTTTGCTCCGTTTCAAACTCACTACCATGGTTTACTCCCATGCATACCCACCCAAAAAGCAAAATCAATGTATTGCACCAAGGATAAAGCTAACCCAGAACATTAGAGAGGTTAAGCTTCACGTCAAACGGCAAACAGGAATTTGCACCATGTGGCCAAGTTTCCCCGTACTTGTTATTCACTGTTCATTATTTCTACACCTAAATTAGTAGTTTCACGCAACTTTTTATCTGTAAGAAATGTTTTGAACTGTTTTTATCTGCTCATTTTCTATTTTGAGAAATTCCCAACTTGAATCTGACGTTTGCCGTTTATGTGAAGCTTAAACTCTCTATATTTATCTTAAATCACATGGGAAACTTAAGTGCTGAGACGTAATTCCATCCATTTGCTTTCACTTCCTGACATTCTGAAAAATCACAACTATTTCTTTATAATTATACAGGTACTCTACCCATTCAGAGCACTGTAAATGTTTCTCCTACGACTCTAATAAATCTAAATTCTATCTACACATCTGTAACTTGCTTTCAAATCCACTTTACTTTAGCACTAATACAAATTATTTATTTGATAAAAATACTCTACATACTGTCTTTTACTTCTTGACTGATTGCCACAGCTGTTAGGCGTAGCAGCTGCACGCAGATCAGTGAAACACAGACTCAGTTTAGAGACTCTGCAAACTCCTTTTCACAACAAGTCATCACAAGGTTTCGCCTTTCAACAAACTTCACTTTGTGTCCTGGGAGCGCAGTTGCTTCTCATCAAGTACTACAATGTAGTCAGAACATCATAAAAGCCAACAGTCCTTTGGTGTGGCAAGGTGGTCATTGCACACTCTTCCTTGACTTTATATCTAACTTCAGCAACACCAACTGGCTTTAAACAGCAGTTACTCAACCATAACAGGAAAGAACACATGCTGGACATGCTGAATCGTGCCTCTGCAGATGGGACAAAGGTTGACATTTCCTGCACAGACATGGCATGAAACCATGTGACCACAAGGACAGAACACCGTGTCTATCTGTGCATCCATGCAGATTTTGCACTTAAATGAATCCTCCATCCTGGTCAGTTTTTGCTGGAGTTGAGTTGCTTGTACATCAGCATTCTGGGGTTTATCCTCAAGTTGTTCCCTGGCAGAATTTCTCTGAATGGGATCACACCCGCGTTTAAACAAAACTCTCCGACAATGATCATAAACCTCTTTGGAAGTCCTCTGAACATCAAAGATGTATTTTTTCTCAGATTCCTCATCTCCAAACAAAGAAATAAGAGTTTCTTTTAGGTCCCTTGTGAACTGGTTCGTAACAGCATTACGCACAGTCTCACAGCGGTAAAAAGCATGATACTCTGTGATGGATCTGTAAAGAGCGCAAGCAGCTACCTGACTGACCAGACGGAATGTGAGCATTGTCTCCCCATCAGAAGTTATTATCGTCAGATGTAGGTTGTTCTTCACATGTGTTGCCATTTTAAGACCAGTGTATGGAAATCTGTCACAAAAAACATACCAACCATTTCAACAGGGTAATATTGACACAGCACTGCGCCGCATCTCCAAAACAGTCATTATAGTCTAACATGGAACAGTTTCTATGTAAAGGACTGGCTGTTTATTACCTGTGAAGGGCCATATTGCTAAGGGGATATTTTCAAAATCAAAGCTTTTAAACAAAAAACAAACATTTGCATTAAAGCGTATAATTGGATGAATTGAGATGTACGTGGGCCAAGCTTGTGTGATAACAAATGGCATTATAAGCAATAAGTTATTAATACCAATTTGTCATTTTCACACTGTTACTGTCATAAGGATAGCTAGAGAACCACTTAAAGGAAAAATGAAAAACCACAAAATTATGGTCCTATAAATTAGACAATAGACAACAACCCTTTTATCTTTGCCCTCTTTGTTCAGTATAATAATATTTTCACATAGTCTTGAAAACAAGAAACGAGTCAAGAACCTCATGAAATGACACTCCTACATCTCCAAAGCACTATTTGCACGGTCATAAGTAGAAATTGATTATCAAAGACTGTCATGTAAATTTCACACCAATTTAATCCTTCATGTTTCAGGCCTGAGTTAACAAATTTGGCTTGGAGCTATGAGAATTATGCAAATGTTTTTACCTCTGTAGCTAATATAATCTTGAAACCACAAATGATTCTGTTATTTTTGTCAAACACTCTTCAAGAGAAGCAGTACTTGCAAGTCGAAGGTGAGCTTTTTGTTGAGAAACTGTCTCAGACCCTCACGAAAGCCTAAAGCTTTTCAACCAAGATAAATATCTCGGAGATATCGAGGTCAGAGCTGTCATTGATTATCTCTATAGTAGTCTTAATGATCTAAACTAAAGAACTATTGTAGCTTTTCAAGTTATAAAATTGTCCCTCAAGGTGACACAGACAATATCCAACTTACGAAGCCTTTGCAATGCAAAAATCATACGAGAGCTTGATGTGACATGTGATTACAATAGAGGGAACGAACTTGTCACGTACAACAAGAAAATAATATATTATCACAGATCACCCAAAAAATATGAGAAAATACTATTAGTAAAATATGGGACACAATACGTGAAATTTCTTCATGGGTGTTGGACAGCTAAAGATGTCGGTTCTCTCTCTATTCTTTTGAATGTGTAGCGTAATAATCCGATCCACCGAGAGCGAATGTTTATTGCTCATCTGTAGACTTAGTGGAGTCGGGTTGAATACATATGTTGAAAAGATAAACACGATCTGCATACATCACGTACGATGCTGGTACAATAAAACAATCATCACGCTCTAAAATAAATACTTTAATTTTGAACCGTTCCACAAAAAATACATGGCTGTTAAAAATAATTTGGGTTAAGAAACCATGTGTCGTTATGCAAAATAATTTAAGCTTAAAGCAAAATTAGATCTACAGGGTTTAGCTCGATCAGGACTTCACTTCGATCAAAATTAAGCCAAATAATAACATTCGTAAATTATTGCCGAAATTTTTTCTGTAAACCCTACTAAATTGGTGAAGCGGATAAATCCAATTCGAAGCAGTATTAATGTGTTTACCATAAGAAACACAAGCTTTGAACCGCTGTGACCTTGCCAGGTTAAACTTTGTAGTGCTCTTCATGTGATTTACTGTGAAGCTCGCTTTGCAAAACACGTATTTTCTTTCTTACCCTGTAAAGTCCCTTGAGATATAAGATCAGCTCATTAGGAAAATAAATACAGTAGGTTTTTTCCTTACCTATCCGTAAAGTTAAAGTCGTGGTCGAATATCTTTATTTCCTCACTTCCTACACCAATGTGCAACGATTCTCCCAACTCGTTTTTCGCCAAATGATACTCAAATCCGTAGTTGTCCATGAGCGACAGTTCCTTGATGAAAAACTGTTTCGCTGCAACCGATCGCATACCCTTCAGCTTGGCATGTTCCAAAGAAACGGTGCTTCGAAACTCGGAAGTCCACTGAGTTTCTACTTCCGATGCCTGACAAAATTCACAAGGTGAATAGGAATCGCCGTGATCTCCGATGGTTGCCTGAGCAATGAAAGCATATATAGTCGCTGCCTTCTCTGGATCTGGGGTTATCTTCTTTTCTTCCAAGTCATTCTTTAAATGCAAGAAGTATTGGTGCCTGTGCGAGAAAGAAATGGCAACATTTTATGAGCACAGCTGATACCAGATCAGGAACAAGTACCAGTTTATGAATTTTCCGAGTGATTTGCCCGCCAAAAAATCTCCAGTGGGAAAATACTCATTTCTCTAATTAGAAGATGTTTTCACATCTTACCTTGTAGAATCTTGAAGCAAATACTGTGGCTGGACGAAGAACTTTACGCGAAACTGCAAACGATACGGCGATGCACCGGAAATTTGTCGACGAATCCTGTTTCTCGTATTCAACCAGAGAACTTCGCTTTTTGGCCCACAGAATTGAAGTCCAAAATAGTCAAGCTCAATAATTCCGAGTCTTTTGCAGACCTGGCAAATAGGAACAAGACGTGGCGTAAATAAAGGGAGCAAAAAAGTTAGATCCTACGGGTTAAAAACATGACTGTGGACTTTGAGCCAGACAAGTCAAAGCAAAATACTAACCGCTTGTAAAAGCTCTTGTCCTCTCGCTTTCTCCCGAAGTTTGAATTCTGTGACAACGCTGTCGGGTAAAGAAACGTGGCAAAGCATTCTGAGTCGAAAGCTTGAGCTTTTTTCTTAGCTATCCATAGAAATATGATACACGCAAGAAGAAGAGAACGACCACCGTAGGAGCTTTGTTGTTCTGCACAAAAATTTTTTTGCGAACTCCGTTGAAATGGACTTCGATCAGCCAAAGGTCATCCCCTGTTCACGTGTATACTATTACGGAGAACCAATCAGAATTCACCCTGAAATTCTTCAACCAATAAATGGCAACCGGAAAGCAACTTGGTTGTCTAAGGGTTTTCCCGCCTGTAACGCGCAAAAATATTATGCACGTGCCCTCAAAGCATTTTTCCGTTTGACTGGTCCGCTTTCCTCTTCACTTTAATAAAATTATTCTTTGTAATCTTCCATATTTAGAAATGAAATCGGTTGAGTTGCCGCTCATGCATCCGTATACGCAACAGTGCAAAGTTCACAGTCGGACATAAAGTTCACAACAAAAATAAATCTGCTTACTCCTGATTTGTCATTTTTCATCGCTACAAGAGGTTTCTTCCCGCATGATTTTTAGCATTTATGTGAGCAACGCGGACGAATTCGTAAACGCTAAAAACTCACAAACAGCGTATTTTATAATCTCCAATAGGGCTACTCGGCGTTAATGTTTTTTTTCAATGGATATAAATTAGTTTCTCTGCCGATAAATATGGTTGCTTTCAGGTTCTTCAAAGATTAAACTGAAACAGCCCCAGTTTACAAACGTTTGACAAGTTTACATTGCATGAAGTGTTTAGTCCTTTTTTCTTCCCCTTTTTTTCGGCTCCCAGATCCGCTCTCAGAATTTACCTTGGACCCGTTTCGTTTTAAGTTTACCACGACGAAAAATGATTTTCGGTCGTCCCGATCGGTGAGGTCTGAGTTCAGCCGCCCCAGAAGAGGTGACAAAATTGAATAAAGAAAAGAAAGGTTTCAAGGAGTGGATGGCGAGGCTTTTATAATATCCTTGCTTCGCTTTCTTTGCAAGGTGCTTTTATAATAGTCAGCACTTTTTTACAACTTTTAAATTTAATGGTCTAAAAGGGCTTAAAATTCATGCACTTTCGGCCTAAAAATTGGAATAAAATAAAATTTAAATGCAGAACTGCGAAGTGGTAGGGGGATTGGCCGTTAAATTCAGGTAAAAATTAAAACCAATTTTAATACTCCAGCAGCTACCATAAGGCGGTCCGAAACTTTTTCACCGAGCCTGTCAACGGCCTTTTAATACAAACTTTACCGGTTCGCAACGATAGAGAGAACAAATTCGCAGCCATGTAATATCTTCTGCTTTTTAAGCACACTGTAAATCAAACTTATCGTGAGGTTCATAACATGAAACGGTGTTTCCCCGATTATTTTTGGCAAGTGACAGAACACTCATAATGGACAGTTTATGAACCTGAAACTGAAAAAAGGTGATAATACATAAATGTATTGGGCGAAACAATAATATTATTTTAAATAAAATAATCCGTTCTCAGATTAAACCTGTAGTTTTATTCACGAATCAGTAAAGCAAGTATTTTGTTTTCAATCTTTGCTTTCTAGTATTGGCCTTACAAGGCTGGCTTCAAAACCCGAAATGATTTTTACAGACAAATATCCGAAATATCAATATTGGTTCAAGGCCGTACCTCCGTTTTCTTTTTCTTTTTAATTTACTAGAATTTTTGTGCCAACGGAGCACAACAGAGTATCCGGAGAAGTGTTAAAGAACTCTAAAAGTGGACTTTCGGTATCGAACTATGTTCGTGATCATCAATGCACAAAGCAAGCGTTATTATGACGATATTGCATCAAAAAATAAGCTGTTTTCATAAGCTTGTTAAGCACTTCTTTATAGCAGACAATGAAAAACGCCTATGAATAGGCTAATATATAACCGGCTTTACAGCTTCTCCCATTGTTACACTTGTCAGCGCAAACTTTATTGCACGATATGGCGGTTTTAAGTTCACTGAAGCCTCACACGAAGGGAAATATCGCGAACTGCGCCTAACCCAATTGAAAAATATTAAAGTTGAAAGTGATCATGAGACACCTAAATTTCAAGGTGGATTTTTTGCAAAACGGTTTACGTGCATCTTTAAAGTGAGACGGTTTGACGCCTAAGTCTAGTTAAACATTGCAAAAAGCAAATTAGGTTGATTTAGTCATTTGCCCGTCAGTTATTAATACTTTTTTAATGACATTTTTTTCAGTTTAAGATAAAACATGGTTTTGGCACGGTCGACAAACAGGGAGACAGATTTCAGTTCTAATAAGTAATACAATACTGGGAAGTGAAAAAACTAAGAAGTTTCGTCGGTATTTACACATAAAAAAAACAAGATACCATATCTGTAATTTACATGCAATATAGGATTTAAACAACTTTTGAGGAGAGTGCATTGACATTATTTACAAAAATGATAAAACATCGAATTCAACGGATGTGCGCGAGTTATGAATGCCTAAAAGCCACGAGTCTATTTACAAATTCTGAGAACTCTATCACAATTCCGTCCAAAAAGGTCTAAAAAAATTAAAATTAAAATTTGCGTCGCTCGTTTATGTTGGCGCGGCTACAAGACCCGCAGGACCTCGGCCGAGTTGCTGCCCGCCGACGTTGCTCTCCAAAGGTTTAAATCCAAGTTCCTCTGTCGGGACGCCAAATGACTTCAGCTTGGATTCGTATGTACGAATAAGATCGTTGTGTGCCTAAAGGAAAAAAGGAAAAGAAATTTAAGTGGTTTTTTTACACTTTTTACAACCTCGGACAGAAGTATTGAGACAATTTCATCTATCTTCTTACTTTTGCCCCATACGCCCCCTCCTCAACCCTATTCAAAGTTGTTTTGGTTTAAAAAAAGCGTGTCTAATTTTGGTGTTATCCTAAACAACATTGGAGAATGGTAGTGTGGTAAAACGGGCATTCGTTTAACCACGGTTCGATCAGTTTTATTAGGATGACATGAAAGAATAGTTTTTTTGGCGATGTGTCTCAACAGGTTTTGGGATTGGGACAGGGAACTCTGGTCGTTGTATTCCTGTTCTTTGTTTTCGGTCTCATGAACCACACCATCTTCGCGCGAAAGGAAATGAGGCTTTTCGGTAGCAAGATAAATTTTGTTAGTTTAAGGCCCCGATCAAAAGACCCAACTGCACCGTTCTAAACCTCTAATTTCACTGGTCTGCTTTAATCTGCACTTCCATTGTTTTCAGGGATGGGGGCATTGTTATGTGACAATCCCTATTTTTTTCCCAGCTAATCAAAATAGGTGCGGGATCGCCCCTTTTTTTCACCTGACGCTAGGGAGCGAAGGACACCTCATTTTGCATAAGGTGGATGTTTTTCTCAGAGTTTGGCGGACGTAAATATTCAGAGTTCGTTGTAAAATGATGCAAATAAAAAAATCTACCAATTAAAGGGGCTGCGGGTCAGGTCACTCTAGGACAGCTGGGTGCTTACTATTTACACAAACGAGCCGGGTGTAAACATTGTGTATCAACATAAAACTATATAATAAAATTCGACTTGGTTGGAGAACGATCCGATGCAAAGTATATGCAAATCAGCTGAACAGACTTAAAAGGAGTTGAAAAATTGCATTGCCTCATATCACCCATATTTTCTGAATCTTCCCAAAAGGGATGGCGCACACCATTTGATTTTCCTACCGGAATTTCCGGTTTTCCTGTGTTAATGGTAAGTATCCCGATCACCATGTAGCAAGACAGTGGATGCAGCCATTCAGATTGGGGGGGAGGGGGGGGAGGGTTGTCTAGACCCTGAGATAAGCGGGACGCCCGGTGTCAATTTTTTTTTCGGCCCTTCGGGCCTCAGTTTGGTCTAAAAATAAGGGGGGGGGAGCTCCTCCCTAGATCTGCCACTACAAGAAGCTGCAATCAACTAACGAAAACGCGCGATCGATAGGTTACCTTGCAGACGCGTGCCAGTTCATACTGTAAGTCCTTGATAGCGCTGTTCTTCGAGTCCAGGACATCCTAAAACAACAAAAGAATTGAGCGTTATTTGGCCTGAAGCATTCGTGTACTCTAAAGAAGTCGTCTGGACTTAACGTCTGGACAAGGGTTTTCAAGCCACAACCTATCCATTGCCTGCGTCTCAGACGCTCTAAACCTTCTGTATGGTTTTGACGAGTGCGTGGGCCGGCTGCAACGCAGGCTATCTATCCATAGCTCTTGAAAAAGGAAACTTGAGTTGTGGTCATTTTCTAACAGTTAGGTCTTTGATGTCTAATATTATACATATTTTTCAATTTCTAATAATAAAAATAGGAGACAGCGTCCTATAAAATGGTAAAATGGCCTAGAAATTTTGTTTACCCTAGTAATAGTCAAATATATGGAAAAGAACCTTGGTATAACGAAACCTTGCTAGAGCAAACATATTTTGCCAGTCACTTGGCCCTTCGTTATGTCGAGGTTCCACTGTATGACTAGAAACCCTCGGATATACCGTTGCCGTTAAGGCTGTCAAGAGAAAAATACCACTAATTGCTTTATTATATATGCAGTTTCCGTTACAGGGATATTGAACTCCAGAGTGTCCGCCCAAGACATCCACGTCTTGATCAAAATTCGTTCGAATCGCATTCTTTAACTCGCTGCTCACTACTCTGTGGACCTCTCGGACAAGTTACAGGGCGACAAACAAGACAGTTAGTTTACCAGTAATAATAAGGAAATTACCTCGAGTTTTCTCGTGACCACTGTAAGGGCGGTAGGATCCAGATTGGATGCCGAGAGAACTTCATTAAGCTGTGCTTCCTGTTCAAGAAAAAACACAGATAAAACATTTGGTAATGGAATAAAAAAATAATATAAATAATAATAATGATAATAATAAAAGACGACCATCAACGTACATGTAACTTTTAAGCAGAAGGGTGATCCTGAGGCTCTTAGACAACGAATACTTTTCCATCCAGAGCCATTTATTTATCACAAAATTGTTAAAATGGCTATTCAAGATGGTCAGATGCATAGAAATCAAAAAAAGAGTTAAGTCCCTTCTGTACCTGGCACTGGCCACACGTTCGTATTGGCACTTAACTAACACGTACCATTAATCTGAAACTAGATTGCCAAAAAATGCACAGACTGAAACAAGTCTCTGAAACACCTGAATGCCCTGTTTCCGGGAGTGAATAAGTTAACAGTCATTTAAACTTGTTTTGCTGCCAACTGCCCTACCCCTTTTCATATTTTGTTTGCTCTGGGCTCGCCAAAACTTTTGCGCCTCGTTTATAGGGGAAGGATGCTACGTAAGCTAAAGGTTTTCTTGCGAACCGCGGATTAAACGTCGGTAAAAGAGACGCTTCCCAAAGGAGTTATTGAACAGTTTCAAGGATGAGCTGTTAAAACCAACATTATCTGAGATACAGTAAAACCCCGCGTATAAGAACTTGGTTTTTAAGAACACACGTAAGAACCTATTAAGGCTAAAAGTTTAAGTTAGGTTCTTAACAGTGGAGTTGCTGTAAAAGTGCATTAACTTTGAAATGGCATTTCAGAGAACTGACTATGAGTTTGTTTGATATGTTTTGTTAAGGCATTGTACTGCCTTTAGGCATTATGGTATGAATGACTTATATGGTATTATGAGATTATATTTATAATATACTTAAATGAAATTCATATGAAAATAGAAGAACCTATTTTAAGAACCTTGGTAGTCTAAATTTGTTTTAAGTACTATTTATATAAGAACCTGTTGAGGCTAAATTAAAAAATCCAGGTTCTTATACGCGGGGTTTTACTGTATGTCAAACAGATAAAGGTTTTTAATCAGGGATCAATATTTCAGCTTCAAGACTTGCTGTGGGCTCGACTATCAGCCGCTGTAAGCGGAATGATCCTGTGCTCCTTCCCGAAAGACTCTTCAAGAGAGCGGCGGAAGTTTGAGCCTAAGCTTGATTGCACGGATAGTTGGGACCTTACTATTCGACGACTGCAACCTCCATGAAAACGTCGCTGAAAATAGACTTCGCATCCTTTCACTTTTTTACGTGATTACGCCAAGTTTCTCTGTTACTTAAAAAAAGGAAATTTAAGTTTGAGCTGAAGAGAGGGGACCGCGCCCGAGTTCAGATAGGCTGCGAACAGCAGACGTATTTCCGGTCGTCGCTTCTCTCCCTTCTTCTCTTCGGAGGGAGAGAAGCGACGACCGGAAATGCGTCTGCTATTCTAAGGCTAGAGTTGTCAGAGTTCAGACATAGAAAATAGAATTTATCGCCATGCCGTTCTCAAGTAAACTTAAAACTTGCTCATTACACATCGTAGTTGTGCAGGGACGGCAAAGAAATTTACCAAAAAGCGTGATGCGCGCGCAGGGGTGTTGTTTTGCTCATTAAACCTATTACTTCTTTTGCCGTCGCCGTCGTAGTTTCGTAAGGTCACTAATAATAGATTCGTCTTCTTTTCATAAAAGTTTCTAAGGATGACTCGTACCTTCTTTTCCAGCGTATCAGCCAGAGCGGCAAGTTTCTTTTCCAACAGTAAGTTCTTAAAGTTGCTCTTCTGTTGTACTTCATGGATGGCCTTGACAAACTTGCCGTACAATTCATCGCGTTCGTTTTGAGTCTAAAAACATCAAAGGAAAGACAATACCAGCTTGATCATTAAGAAATGTGAACACATACAGTACAACGAAACAATCAGTTGGTAACATACAGATTTATATTCAACACCTGTACCTTTATATTGTTCAAATAGTCATTTTTTCGGGCGTTCAATTTAGCAAAAACAGAAGACGCAAAACTTTACTCAAACTGATTGTGCTACAGTTCAACTAAATTTGACGTCCAAATGACGTCTTTAATGCAAGTTAGCGAGAGCGCAGGACTTTCTCGCACGCTCTGAGCTATCCAATAACAACCACGCGGGCTTATTCAGCTCAGACCGGCCCCTGAATCAGTGATCCGTTAGTCTATTCTTACCTGAGAGAAGCGTTGTTGGAGGACCTCGTGTTCCCAATGTAAACTTCTCAGCTCTTCCTCCTGGACTTTGAGCCGTGCTTTGGCGCTCTACGGATTAACCAAAGAAAAAATTTTATCACAACAGAGTGACATACCAAAAACTACGAAATAGCTAAATACGCTTGGGTAAATCAGGGTGCAAAGAAAGTCAGTTTTACAGGTTGCCATTCGGGCAAGCTGTAGCTAACATGTACTAGCCCACAAGTCATTTCAACTAGCCCCAAAACCCTTTTTGATTAGCAGGATTGATTACAATCCTTCTGTAACTTGAATTTCCCAAAAAAACAGCACTTGCCCGTCGGGCAAGCTAAGAACAAAAATCACTAGCCCGACAGCAAAATCTACTGGCCCCGGACTATCGGACATGACTTTCTTTGCATGCTGGTAAATCAATGGCGGCAAAAACGAATACTTACAGCCAGTGACGCTTTGTCTTTTTCGTAGTTCGCAAGCTTAAGATGAAAACAAAGAAAAAACAGTCAAATGAAATTACTGAACAGCATTCGACAGTGGTAAAGTTTATTATGTTGCAAAAGGTGAAACCTTTTAACAATTAAGTCTGCCTATGAAATCCATAAGTGTGGCTATTCAATCGACATCTTCTGTGAGAACAGTACTTTTCAACATGAGTTTAGGTCAATATAAACAGGCAGATATTCCTTCTTTTAGTCTTAAAAATGGATAGTGAAATCGTCTGCCCTACGAGCGAAGCTGCTGAGAAGAAATTGGCCGCACCCTTCGTCAGTATTTTCAGAAAAGTTCCTATTTTATTGTTTGGAATGAACGTCAATCATTCTAACCTGTTTTCGGAGCTCTTCCACTTCTTCTCTGGCTTTCTGTAATGGTTCTGTTAATCTCTTATTCTCCGCCATGATTTCATTCATTTGTTTCTCCATACGCTCTTCTTTCTTTTTCATATCCTCTACTTGTTCCTGTCAAAACATCAACAACAGCCTCACATTAACATCCGACATGAGTTTCACCCCCCGTCGGCCAAGTTATTGCAAGACTGTTTAGTCACTCTAACTTCAACCTCGTTCCCAGGAAAGGGAACGAGGTTGCCCTAACTTTTAAATCTGTTGTCAAAATCCTATGGTGTTAGTGGATGAAATACTGAGGTGTTACCATTCATGTGACACCTCACTGGCAGAACTTCTGCATAATGTTATTCATGTCTTGAAGACCATTAGAACATTTAATGAGACTAGATTTACAGGTAAACAAACAGCAAGTAATGCCCTTTGTTGAAAGTCATTACAGGTGGATAGCCAAGCCTTCAAATGACACTGTGATACCTGGGCTGAGTTGTTCAAAAGGTGGATAACGCTATCCACTGGATAAATCTCTATCCAATGGATAGCTTAATTGGTTTCCCTAATACTTATCGGCCTGATAGTGATTTATCTGGTGGATAGCGCTATCCAAAAATTTTAACATTTACAGTCATCTTCGAAAGTTTGGAAAAGGGGTATAATTGCAAAGTGGTGCTTCCTGGTAATAATGAACGACCAGATGATACCATTGTAAGACCACATAATGGCATGTTAATTACATGTACGTTGGTCACTTTATTTTACAGAGTTCCACTGAAAAGACATGTGGACATGTGTTTTTATCCAAACACTGTTGGGGAAACCTGTACATGTATATACTTCATAATAAGTCAGCAGTCAATTTATTACCTTGAGAGAATTGATGAGCGCTAGATTGTTAAGTGTGATGTCATTATAATAATTCTTGATGTCACTGAAGGCCTTCTCATGATTCTTCATGAGGGTGTTGATTTGACCATTCTTGCGCTAAGGACAAGAACAACAAACTAACATATCAGCTTTGACGAATAATTACAAAGCATGAATATTACATTTTTAACACAACCTGGGGCCCAAGATATGTACTCTAAATGAATTATTACCAGGTGAGTGTGCAATAACTTAAGTCCTGGTCAATACACTGGAACTAGTGCTATATGCTGGGTGTGAGTGTGAATTGGGCAGGGGAGTGTGTGTTTGCTACAGGTTTTCCTATGGGTGAGCAAAATCTGTCACATTTTTAGGGGGGAAATAAGTGATTAACTTAAACTCTGGGCTAATAAACTAAATCCTCTCACCTTTTCAACGAAATTACTTTTTCATTTTTGCATGGTACCTTACATTACACTTTTTTGGTACATTTTAGAACACTAATAATAAATTGGCATGGGAAGTTGATGGATGTTTTGGGAAAGGGTACATTATTTTTATGTCAAAAGTCATGTAAAAGGCAAACCTCTTCAATTTCATGAATTTCAGTCTTTCTTCTCAGCTCTAGTTCTTCCCTTAGTGACTTCATTTTCTTGTCATACTTAGATTCAATTTCTGTAAACAAAAGTACTCTCATAAGAATCAAACAATTTAATTTTAAAAATTGTCAACAATCCAATGATCGCAAACCTTTAACTTGTCTTTCAAAGTCTTGTCTGAGTTTAGTCACATGTTCATCATGACCCTGTAGACAGAGAAACCTTCATGAATATTTTTAGGTTAAATGCAGGTAGCATATCTCTACTTAATATGCACACAATGGTAAAGTTAATATTGTTATTTGCTGGGGTTCTAAGAATAGCGGCAAATTATTGTTTTGATGGTTCTAGCTTATTGACAGCTGTCATGGAGACTCAAGTATAAAAGGGCGGAATGTTACTGAGGTGATCATTCTTAGCTGACATCGCTGCCTGAGTTTTGCTTGTCAATGCTTTTTTCCTTTTTGAGTCATTCGAACTGATTGTAGTTCGTTGTTGATGTACTCATAATTTTGTATTCTAGTTCAACCTCTCTCCCTTGAGGTTCCTGTTCAGTGTCTGGCTCTGCTTTTGGGAGGGTCCAGGTTTCCTCCTTAGCTAAGGGGGTTTTTCCTGACGGGCAGCAGACACAAGATCATCTTTATTACATTATTGATCAAAGAACTTTACTTGGAACTTGTTACATTTTTTTCTGCTTGTCTGCCTTTGCAGTACCTATGTGTTTGTATTTGTATAATAAACGGGGACTGATGTTAGCATTATGCTGGGCTTCTATCCAGTGCAGCAGTCAGTTTTCCTATTTAGCACGGAATGATTTCATTGTTTTTCACTGTTCACTGTTTCATCAATAGGGAATTGGGAAAGCTTAGATTATGCATGAGTTATACAGCTGCGCATAAACCAACAGTCATAACACTCGGGTAAAGAAAGAAGGGGTTCTAGCAACAAATAAAGATTGTCTTTTATCTATAATTTATGATGACTTAGTTTTATAGCCTTACCCTCTTAAGGTTCTTGACAACATCTTCGTGAGAAAGTTCTTGCTCTTTGAGTTCAACCTAGGTTCAAAATGTCCATGAATTATTTTGTATTCAATTAACAATAACTGTTTGCATTGTTAGGTCACGTAGCCAGGTAGTAGCTTCTTGATCTTGCTATTACTTGCTTGAGATGACAATTATGTAAACAGTTTCAGCACAAGGATATTCCAAAAAATGTTTCAGGCTAAACCTAGGGTATTATAATAAGCCATAGGATTTCAAATCCTACGGATAACAAGTGATGTATGTGATGCTTTACCACTTGAAGGAAAGAAAATGCTGAAATCAAAGTTGAAAAGTTCTTTTTTGGGAATCTGACATTTTGATACCTCTGTCATTCTATTTGTTTACAAATGTAAATTACTATATGTATCACTGCATAGTTGAAACAGAAGTTTCCTTGGGTTCACAAGATGTCAGCAGTTTCTTAGAACATGAAGAGAACAAAATAATAGTAAATGGTGTTCACTGTACAGTACTGTAATGTCATGAAATTGTTACTTATCCTTGGAAGTAAACTTACTTTAAGAGATCTTTTGTCTTTTCTTAGATCTTGCTCATTATTTTTATGATCATCCTGCGCAAGCTTCAGTTGTACAGCACCTAAAACAAAACATGCAGTATTGTTAATAACTGATGAGTGATCCAGAGTTATCAGTTATTTTTAAAATCCTTCTGGTCAGCAAACAGCAAAACTGAGTGGTTGTGCTGATGCATAAGTTTGTTTGCTCTGACTTGTCAACCCTCTGAACTGATGTGTATCTGTATCGATATCACATAAGCCTGAGCAAACCGTCGGTATTTCGTAATGACACCACTGGTTTTTCCATGAAATGATGTCTGAGAAACAAGCGCAGAATTTCCATACTGATGAAGTACTGGGTGATGCGTCATCAGTATGGGATTTCTGCGTTCGTTTCTCAGATGTCAATTCACAGGGAAACCAAAGTGGCATAGCGAAACGTCAGCTGTTTCTTAGGCTAGTATCATATTTTGAGTCACCTTTCTGTATTATTAATAGCCAGTTTAATATACATAATTTGTAATAGTAGAGCCCCAATTGAGTCAAACAGGACTGGGAAGAATTGTTTCATAAAGTATGGGATAAACAACATCATTTGTTACCCCAGGGTGTTATTATAATAGGGTTTGTTAGATTTGTGAATGTATATCATAGGTTCAACAGTACATGAATGTACTTACTTTCAGCCTTAAGTTCAGCGATGTTGTTTTGGTGCTCATAAAGCAAGTGCTTCACTTTTTGTTTATAGACTTTGATTTCAACCTGGTGTCTCTCCTCTGCCTCCTCCATTTCCCTATCTTTATTACGCAGCTCTGCTTTTCTTTCTTCAAGTTGTCTCTTTGTGATCTCCCAAAATGTGGTGACCTTATCTCTTTCTAGCTGAAAATAGTTACGCTCTTCACGTTCTCTGTCCAGTTCTTCTCGCAATCTCACAATATGCTCCTCAAGTTGTTCTTTACTCATTTCTTCTGTGCTAATGCCATCGACTATTGTTGGTGTTTTGGATTTTGCGGACTTCTTCTTCCCCTTTTTCTTTCCACTCTTCTTTTTGGGTGGCTGGAGGAAAAACAGTAAGCTTACATCAAGAACCTTACCAAAAACATAACAAGAAGTAACAACTGTAAGCTCTACTTATCAGCTACTAAACATTCAAATGCTATCAACCTACCATGTTGAATAATTTGATAGAAAAAGAGACGAAGTTATTCTAAAACGATCGCTTCTTCAACAATTCAACATGGAGAAGATTGTGTTGCCTGGAAACGAATTCAACAATATCAAAACTCCCGGATATTAACATGAAAGTTTCCGCTAGCAGCTATATCGTGGGCGCGAATTAGTCACGCAATAGTTTAGACAAAATCACAAACAATAAGAACAGGTTAAGTCTCAAAGACATAATACATTGGAATTTGCCTTTACCCCTTTTAATAACTAACCCATTATGTTCTATCTTGGCTTTTTTTTAAAACTATCCTATGTCAAGGAATGCTAGATGGCGATGGCGAATTTGGTATGGCGTGACGAGGGACACAATCACTTGAGAGTCACGAGCTTGTGAAGTGTTTTTGGTTCGCCTGAATTTGCAGTAGTTTCTTCATCTTCTGCTTCTCATTATGTTTTTAACAAAATTGTGTTTGCTTGTTTTCGCAGTCGAGACGGCAAATTATGTCTCATTATTCGTTAACGCCTCGCGTGAAACGGTGAATTCAGCTACTGGTACGTTTCGCTTCGCCAATATTTATGGCGACCACATGGTTCTTCAGGCAAAGCCGTTCAGTGCCATGGTTTGGGGATTTGGAGAAATCGGACAGACAGTTGATGTACGTGTTGGAAACGAATTTCTTGAAACCAAGGTGATAGAAGGTCTGTATGGTCTGTAGGGAATTTTGAATTTGTGATGTTAGTGATTATTGGACATCGATCCAGGCAATATACAGCTGTATAGGAGCATAGGAATTCTTTGCAAAGTAAAAACAAATAATAGTTGAACATAACATACGATAACGTTCTGACGCAAAAAGGGTTAAAAAAAATTGAAACATTGAATTTTAATCTCTTCACAAGCAGTGACGGGAGGGGGGGGGGTGGTTATGAGAGGGGAGGGGTCGTGGGTAGCATTCTCTCTCCCCCTCTTGGAATGCTAATTATCAAAATCATGAGGGCTCCCTCTTAAATCTTCTTTATTTGAATAGAGCGTTTTCATGGACAGCATGTCATTTTTAAAGGCACTTTGTCCAGAGTGAAAAAAAAAACTCATTGCATGTTGGGGGGAGGTGGAGATGCAAATTTCCAAAATCAGGGACTCCCTCTCAAAACAATCTCTTTCCCAAGTAAAATGCCCTGTTAAACAGCCATATTTGAACTTTGTCTGACATTTAAAAATGTTGGATCTTAGGTGCCAATGGTTCTGGTGTGTGGAAAGTTACACTCGACGCTCAAGATGCTGGAGGCCCATACACCATCAATGCCTCCTCAAAAGTGGGTAACACCACCGCATCCATAAGCCTGGCTGATGTGCTGTTCGGTGATGTTTGGTTATGTAGTGGGCAGAGCAACATGGCCTTCACAGTTACTCAGGTACAGATGTGTACATGTAAGCTCTTGTCTATGTATGGAAGACACAGCACAGTTTGCAACTAATTATTCATGATCAAGTTGGCATAACCAGGCCCCAGTTGTTCAAAAGGGGGATAGTGCTATCCACTGGATAAATCTTTATCCACTGGATAGTGCAATTTATTGGTTTCCCTAATATTTATCCACTAGATAGTGATTTATCCAGACAGTGGATAGCACTATCCAGCTTTTGAACAACTGGGGCCAGGTGGTTGATACTGTCCTCTAGATAAATCTTTTCCAGGTATAACGCAATATCAGTTTCCCTACCACTTATATCCATGGGATAGTGTTAACGTAGGCTATCTAATGGTCTGAGTTCTATTGGTGGCTGAAACATTGTTGCGGTCCAAAGTCGAAAACTCAAACTCCGCGTATGTTAAACTATGTCTTTATTCCATAAACATTCCAGGTTTCCAAAGACAAATTAAGATCTGATCCGAGTCAACTTCAAACAAATTCATGATTAAGTGGGTCCAAATAAGGTCAAGTATCCTATGCACGACGAGTTAGGTTTTCTAGAATCAAAATACAAGCTTATGATGAGTTCAGTGTTCAAAGTTCTTTAGGAAATGGCTGAAATACAAGTCAGAAAACCTACCGACTGTTTTGAGTTGCACGAGTACACTTCCAAAATGGCAAACTTACAAAGAGTCAGGTTTCAAAAAACATTTTTGTACATTGCAGGCACGAAATACGTGCGCAGCAGTATTAACAAACATACACTACCACACCCCTTAACCATTTAATTTTTGACTGCTTTGAAGGTCTTTTAATGAGACAGAACGTTTGTGGTGAAAATTACATTTATCTGATTGGCCTCTTTTACTTGAATTGTTTGTTTTCCCATTGCAGAGCATTGACAATTTCACTGAATGTTCTTTAAGAAATTGTGCCTCCCCTCTAGGTTTTGGGTGCAATTTTGATTGACAATTGAAAGAACACGTGACAGTGAGAAATAAAGATGTTTTCAAGTTTTTTCACGTTGAGAACAGTTGAGTTAATGTTTCTGTGTTTTATTGGTGTTGAAAAAGTGTTCGCGTTTAGCGAAGAAAAATTTAAGAAACAGAAATTTCTCTTTAAATTATGAATACATACATAATACCGGTACATGTACATGTGAGAAAGACAAAAATGGAAAGAAACAGCACTCTTAAAGTAGCATCACAAAATTGGCCTGTGCTCACCATGGTAAATTAAAAAAGTGAATTAACAAACCTAAAAGCTTAAAAGAGCTCTGTTGTCTTATAAAACTCACATTAGGTTGTAAATGCTTCAGAGGCTATTGAAGAAGCTGACCATTATCCTGACATCAGACTGTTTACAGCAAGCCTCATAGCATCCGAGACTCCTCTTTATGAACTTCAAGAAGTTATGCAACCATGGAGTGTAGCCTCTTCTAGTAAGGAACTGAATTTTTTTTGCCTATTAATGAAAATTTGATGGTTAACCCCATCTCAAATATTTGAGATATGATAGACCTCTTTAGCTTGTATGTATTGTTTTCCCGATGAAGGTCGCAGGGGAATTTGCCCCTTTTTCTTTTCATAAATTATGCGTACATACACTGTATGAGTGAAGACAAAATTTGAAAGAAACAGTTCTGTGGAGTACTATCACATGTGGAAAAATAGAAGACAGAAGTTCAAGGGGACTAATAAGAAGCCACATTTTGAAGTTTTAGTTTCTACTTTTATGTTTTAAAAAGTCACAGGTGCTCAGAATAGTTACTTGCCTGTGTAACAAGGCTGTGCTCTAGTAGTAGAGCCCCATCACAGGAAAAAATAACGGGGTCCCATTTTTGGGTATTTAAAGAATACCTACAAAAATCCCAAATTTGGAAGAGTGAGACAAGTCCCAATCTGGGAACTTGGTTGGGAATTCCCTGGTTGGGACTTGTCTCACTTTTCCAAATTTGGGATTTTTATGGGTATTCTTTAAATACCCAAAAATATCCAAAAATGGGAATCCGTTATTTTTTCCTGTGCATGGCCTTGGCGCCCGACTTTTGCTCTCGGGTGCAACTAGAAATTCTTAGCTTTTCCATACAAATCATATGCTGGGCACCCTAGATTTTGCAGGCTCAGAGCATTGGGCTTCCTTTCAATTTAATTTCCATAGAGCACATAATTACGCAGCCTTGTGAAAACTTGTTTTTTATAACATCTTTGTATGGAAAAGAACAAGAAACGTATAAAGTGTGTGGGGATAACATCTGTTACAGTATTACTGCAAAAGTATAATAGTTACCATTACTATTGCATGCATTAATCAGCAAAGCTACACAATAAGGTGGCCAGAGCTTGCAACCCACAATATTTTGACTAGCTCATCAGTCAGCTTGGGCAGTTCAATAATATTGGGTAGAGTGTTACATCTGGTCATTTTTTAAGGTCAGGGCTCATGTCATTTGACCCTTCAAGCATGTATTTTTTTTCCAAGCTCTTTTCAAAAGGCATCAACATTTTATAGTGCCACCATTTGTTTCCACTTGAAATGTTGCCTGAGGAAAAACTGCTGAAATTCCATACTCAGATGGTGTGTCACTGCACCCAGGTCTGGGTAGTGCTTTTGGTTGGTTGAAGAAAATTTTCAACCAATCCGAAGCACTATGCAGATCTAGCTAGTGACACTTCATCAATGTGGAATTTATATCTGTAGTCATTCCTCAGATGTCATTTTGCGGGTATTAAAACCAGTGGTGGTTTCACAACATGTTGATTGTTCTCTCAGGATAGCATATCATTGTCCAGTGCAATTTGTTTTTGGAGAATGTAAAGAATTGCATAACCCATTTTCTTTATAAAGTTTTTACTGTTTACAAATTTGTCTCATTTTTCAAAGAATCAGTGAATGGTGGTGCTTGGAAATACTTCTCAGCGGTGTGCTGGTTTTATGGTAAGAATCTTTATGACCAGTACAAGAAACCAATTGGATTGATTGCTACAGACTGGGGTGGTACCCCAGTTGAATCATGGTCATCGCCAGACGCCCTGCATCAGTGTAACATAACTGGAGACAAAGTAGTGGATGTGTAAGTTAACAAAAAACTTTTTCACACTGCTGAAGGAATTTAATAAAGTCAGCTCTTTATTGATTAACAGCTCTATGAGATGTTCACCTTTCTAAAATAGACACCTAGAGTTGTTCCGGATCATTATAGGTTTCTGGGAAACTGCCCACGTACCCCTCCCCTAAGCCAACATTAACACTTACTTTTCAGTTAGGGAAAAATGTTGGCTTAGGAGAGGGGTAGGTGAGCAGTTTTCTAGAAACGTGTAATGATCTGTTGTTCCCTGCTGTTCTTGTGTCATTGTCCTAGACACTTGAACTCATAGGCCTGGTGATCAGGTTCAACATTTTTCTTTTTGGAGTGGATTAAATGTAGACAATCCACCTGATTTTTCTTATTGCTCCACAACTTAATACCTCTACTGTAAAATGGAAATTATCAACTGGTAAGTTCCATTTTTGTCTTTTATGTTGTGAAATAACATTAAGCAAAGTACCAAGCTTTTTGAGAAAAATCCGCATTTCAGCATAAAACAACCAAACATGGCTATTTAATGTAAAATCAGGTGAAAAATCTGCAAAAGGCAATTTTTAGGTTTTTTTATTTAATTTGCAAAGATTTCACTCATGAAGAAGAGAATCTTGCAAGAGTCTTGAAAATTTCAGACTTTTTGAAAAATAAAATGAATTTGAGAGCCCTTGAATCGCAAAATTTAATGCCCTTTTTGATATTTGCCTATTGAAATCACAAACATCAAACCTCTCAAAATACCGTCTTGCCAAAATTGTGAAAATTTAGCGCCAATCGGGAACATGAGAACAAACTATACAATGCAGGTGAAAGAAGAAAGAACAGGTTTTTTATATGCATTTATCTTCTTTTCCTATTTCTTTACAGATTCGTTTCACCTGAAGAAGAGATATTTAAGGGCCCCAACACACACTCAGCATTGTATAATGCAATGATTCATCCTTTTTTGAACATGACCATATATGGGGCTATTTGGTATCAAGGGGAGGCTAATGCAGCTGCACCATTTACGTACAACTGTACATTTCCGGCTATGATTGATGACTGGCGTTCCAAATGGTTCTATGGTACCGACAAGCTCACTGATCCTGAATTTCCTTTTGGATTTGTTCAGGTAGGTCATTGGGGGTTAGTAGGCTGTTGTAGGCGTTCAGAATGGGGACGGTGCAAAAAGATCTGAGCAGGGAAAACAGCGAGGGGTGGGGTAGCGGACTTCGGGCCAAACTCCACTATCTGAACACCTGGAACAGCTATGAGGGTAGTAGACTCATTATTATCATTATCATCATCTACTTCATCATCATCATCAGGTTCGCTCTTATCATCAAGTTAATTATTCTCAATTGACCTTCCATGAACAGCCTTCGCGTTTTCTTGCTTTTCAGCGTTATTTCGGTGGAAATTCCACATTCAGTCACTTTCTCGCTGGTCTGCCGCGATATCTTTTAGGTGATGACTTTCAAAATAGAACTTGACTATAGAGGATAAGAGATTACAAAAGGGTTGGCTAACCACATTGAGCTACAGGCTGGATGGTCTCCCTCGCAACCTTTTTAAGTGTCATCACGCAACGCTTGTGCGGAGGAGTGTTGCGTGACAACACTAAAAACGGCAGCGAGGGAGACTACAGACAGGAGGGAGTTAAAAGATAAATGTTGCGAGGCTGTGTCAGTCGGGGGAGGTGGCGAGGGGATGGGTGTTGAGGCCTGATTGAAAGGCAGAGAATGTCAAAGGCGGCTGTCTTTTTGTTTTTTTTGGTATTAGCTATCATCGTTTTACCAAAAATCAAAGCTTGCAGATGGCTTTCCTGTTATCCGCTGGGCTCAGACTGCCAACTACGGCTATGCTCCTAACCTCAGAGAACGGAATGTATTTATGGCAGTTGCGATGGACTTGGGAAATAAATCAGCTATTTATGGCAGTGTTCACCCCCCTGACAAACAAGATGTTGGGTTTCGTTTAGCCCTTGCTGGACGAGCAGTTGCGTATGACGATTTGGATGTATATTTCTCCGGTCCCATTGTTTCTGATGTGACATTCAGTTGGCAGATTAACACCACATTTTGGAAAGCAAATGTTAAATACCACCACGAAAGTGTAGGAAAAGGAGGTATCGAAGTGCGTGCCTTGCGCGGCTTTCAGGTTTGAGCATTTTTTTAACTATTAAATTAAAATAGTTAAATCTTCATTGTTACAAGGGGCAATCCTCTGAGAGACTGGAATTTAGACTACGGCTAATGGTAGATGAGATGTCACAAATACCAACAAATTGGGGGAAACCAAACTCGTTGCGAAGATGAGTAGTCTGAAAGATCACCCTTCAGTTGTGATTCTGAAAAAATATAAATCCATCGACTTAACAGGAGCACCCAACGACGATTTGTTCGTAAATGCATTGAAAACACTTTTTAGGCTATCCAGAGTACTCTTACGTCTCTAGAAATGCATTCTAAGAGGCGCTGTAAAATTGGTATCTGTTCGGCTGAGTCTTTTCGAAATTAAAAGGGCTTCAATATTATCTTCCCGAACTTTTAGATGCAATTTGACGTATCACGAAAGTGAGACATTTTATGATTTCTCTCTCCATCGCATTTTTGAGTCCGAAAAGTTTAGGTTTCCTTTTTTTCTACGAAAAAATAGGCTAACTTGGGAAGTGAAATGTGAAAATTAAAGATCAGAAAATCGTAGGGAATTTATTAGAAAAGCTTCGAAAAATGAACATGAATGGAACGGTCATCTAGAAATTTTTAGCCGCCCTGAGGTAATAGAAAGTTCTAGGCAATACTTGCTTCTCCGAACAGATATTTTATCGAAAACAGTCGTTTGGTGCCCCTGACTTAACTTCTCAGGTATGACCCAGTCTCTGTTAGTATAAAAGATATGGCAAAACGAATACCTCACGTCAACCGTCAGTTTTCGAATTTCGATTGAGTGGATTTAAATCTAGCCTGTGTACAGCCGCCCCTCCGTGGTCGTTAACCTACTCCCTCAAAACCACACTTGCGGTTTATTTAAGATGCTTGTATTATTTGGGACATCATCGGCACTCAATGACTTTTCTGTTTCATTGCTCTGCTATATGCATATTGCAATTGTGTTAGCGAGAATTTGCAATTGCATGCTGTGCTAGTTGAACATTGCGTTTATCCCGTGAACAACTGGTTCAAGATTGTATGCTGTTCTAGTTTCTCATTCTCAGCAAGAGCTCAAGAATGCACTTGGCGCTAGCTGCTTATTGCACGAGTTCGTGATTGCGTGCGGTGCCAGTTGAAAATTGGGCTTGTGACAGCCAGAATTTTACAGGGCTGCATGAAGTGCCTATTGCAAATTAATAATTCATAATTCCCTCTAAGTACTCACGCATCTAAACGAGTCAAACGGACAAAAGTGGCTTAAGAACGTTAATTATTCCAGTGGATGTGTAAAGCATTTCGTCACCGCTGTTAACCCACCACTAACCGCGCGAAATCGCCCGTTTGAAATCACGTTTCTTGCAGCATGAAATGTGCAATATATTTGTAAATAACTCAATAAGCAGCGAGTAACTACAATGAAAATCTTGTCTCTCTACCCACTTGTACCTCTACAAAAATAAACTTCTCTTTTTCTTTCGCGTTTTCGGGAAAATTTTTCGCAAAGACATCAAGGGTTGTAAACACCCAGCTAAACTTATGGACAGAAAAAAGCGAAATTTTGATTTTGACGCAATTTCTTAGAAATATAGCTGTATTCTCATCCCAGGAAAGAAAGCTCGATTGGTTTCCCATCTGCAAACAAAGATTGGGATAGTTTTGCCTTATTTGTCCTGATACTGGTAAAATCCTACGACAGCTGCGAAAAGAAGCTGTGTGCTGAGAACACCAATTTGGGTGCAACTTAGAGCTTTTGAAAAGCTGGACATGTTAATTTAAGACTTTAGATGAATATTTTGTTCACGTACCTGATGCAATGGGACCAAGGGTGACGCATATGGTCAGGGCACTCGCCCTTCATCAGCATGATGAGATTTAAATACCATAGTTGATTACTTACGCAGGTTGAGGTTCTGGTTGATTCTCCCTTTGTTCCAAGGGGGTTTCTTTGTGTTACTTTACCTTAAAAACCAACACCTTCTTATTTCATTTCTATCTGGAACGCACGAAGAAGTCAAGGCGGGTTCTTTGGCGGTAAACAAACAACTTTAAAATTTACAACTCCAGTTCATGTAATGGCCTTGTCTCCTCGTTCTGACGTGTCCGTGGTTATTCGATCAAGATAATCCACTTAATAAAAAATCTTTTCTAAAGTAGCCGTCTTCCAACAAAAATAAGAAAATTGTTTTTGAGTTTTCAAATCAGTTGAAAGGATGGATTGTACTTGTTTTTCTTGCAGTACTACTGCGTATCATCCAGTAACCCATCAGACTCCATGTTCACAGAGGCTGAGATTAGCACAAGTGCATTTAACATGCTTGGTTTGTCTGGTGAATGCCCATCCGGTTACCAAGCAACAGGGTTAAGGTATGCTTGGAATGTGACACCTTGCGAGTTTAAGAACTGTGCTGTTTACAGTAAGGAGAATGAATTGCCAAGTCCTCCCTTCGTATGGAATGCACCAGATGTTCAGCCAACCAAGTGATTGTCAGTCGTAACCGCTATTCACCCCCTTCCCCGAAATAGTCAGTATCAAAGAAATCCTCAATTTCATATCAAGTAGAAGTACCGCTAAAAAGGTTTAATTTGCATAGTTACACCGCAGGAACTCGTCACCAGATTCCACAGTTAGCACCAAATTACGTGCCTCCATGACAGACTCCTAGTGACACCCCTAGGATTGAAAGGGGTGACCGGATTGCTCTCACGGATTTTTTTATGCAGCTTTAATCTTAGTTACCGAACTTGTTCAAAGTTTGCTAGATGTCCTTAAATTTTGATATTTGTAAAGCCTTAGTGGAAATGTCACTCAACGATTTCCTTGACTTTTTAAAGACGTTTCCCATCAGCAAAGATCAGTTTAAATGAAATAAATGTTTAAAAATGCTTAACTTATTTTTGTTGCATCCTTTTTAACTTATTCTGTCCTTTTAAAATATTCTGGAAAGCCGAAATAATATGAGCCATTGAGCGATTTTTCCAATATGTTAAATTGAATGTTAAGAAAAATGTTTCTGCGCTGCATTCAACGTCATTTGTTAGGAGTAATGATAGGGTTTGCTAATTTGCTACCTTCTTTATACGGTTTGTTGGGTTTCGAACACCTCGCACTGTGGAGTCCTTTTTAACTCGTGGGTACGCGCGAGCGTACCACGAGTTATTGCAGGGACTGAGATATGCAAATGAGTCACTCGCTCACTCGTAGTAGACGCACTTCGTAATTAATCGGGTCCGAACTCGAGAGCGCGAAGATCTATCGTTTCCAAAGAAGCACGCGCTCGCTGAAGTTCGGTAGCATCAAATTCCTCGCTGAAAGTAGGGCGGATAAAGTTTGGGCGGTGAAACGAGCGCTCCGCTCTTCATTTAATGTGTGATGCGGAGTAGGACTGGCACGAGCGCTCTTTCCGCGCTTCCAGTGCGCTTGAAGGCCGGCGAAATTTTCCTTTTTGCAAACCGGAAATCCTATTTTCTTTCTGTAATTTCAGGCTACAATGTTAAATAGATAAATTCGTTTCATAACAATATCAATAAACAGTTTCATATGTTTGTGTCTGTACGTCTATAAGTCAAACTTGTTGGTCGTATAATGCCAAAATTTGAGTTTAATTTGAAAGTGTTGAATACCTCCTCCTTCCACTAAATATCACCTAATCGTCTTTCGCCGTTTCGTTTGCAAAAGCTTAACACTTCTTAACCTCAATTTTTACATATGTTAAAGAGGGATAAATTTTATAAAACATAACAAAAAATTAGATTGATATATATTGATATAGTGGCGTTGTACTTCTTCAAACTTTGCTTCTCGGGTGCAACGCGCCATGGGGATTCGCGCAACGCGTTGCAAATCCGGCAACCGCATGTAAACAAAATTTAGTGAGGTTAGTTGTAAGGTTTTTTCTCCTTTTTTCTCTCTAAAACAAAACAAGGTAAACAGTAAAAACTGAGGGGAAACTAATTTTGAAGTTTCGAAGAAACAGAAAGACGTATGAGATGTTTTTTTCAAAATTAAAAAGAAGGATGATGGTGATTGAAATTAGCATAATTTCACCTTGCACGAGCTGCACGCAGTTATAAAATACATACACGTCATCTAGTTATGAAGCACGATCTGCTGTCTTTTAGTTTTGCCATGGATGACATGAATGAGATTTTCCTTCTTGTTTTAGACAGTACTTAGTTGTTTTTGTTTTGGAATAACATCGACATTGGTAGTAGTCAGTGGTAGAGTCATGGAAGTAATAAAAGAAACCCTTTGAAAGACATGTTTGTCTACTCCAACTAAACCTCCCGCAAAAAATAGCAACATTTGCCTCTCGGAGACAGGGTAACAAAGGAACGAGGAAGAAGTGCAAGAAAACAAATCAAGCTGCCATAATTCAGTGACAGCGGCAGTGTCTAATGTACAAACCACATCGCAAGCCCTTTCCGAAGGCGAAAACAAGCGACATTTCTAAGCAGATTCCCTTCCACTGCATCACACCTTTTTGCTCGGACGCGCTCGTTTCACCGCCCAACCTTTATCCGCCCTGCTGAAAGCGTGCATCGTGCGCTACAGCACGGTTAGGATAGAGGTCTTACCAAATTTAAGACACGCAGGAATCTTTCAAATTAGTACGATTCAAAAGCCTTTAATCCGTCCACGCGTTAAACTTGACAAGAAGATGAGCATTTTCTCTTCGACTCCTTCAACTTCGACGCTGGCTTGATCTCCTACCTTGTAGTAGTGTAGTAGGTTATGTGCATGAATGAATTTATGGCGGTCAGTATAAAACACGGACTGCGGACTACGGACTGCGGACTGGGTATAAAATACGGACTGGTGAAATGTATGGTAAATAAAGGCACTTCTTTTTCTTCTTCTTCTTAAGGACTCCCCAAGATCACGGGGGGAAATGGATGTGAGTTTGAGCATTACCTTTAAAATAACAGCGGAAATCGAGATAAGAAAACATAAGCTAATGTTTTGCATCCTACTTCGCGGAGGATTTGTGTCGGCTTTGTATCGCTTATGTTCTTTCACTGCCATGAAATGCGTTTACATTGTTTTTTACTGTCAGTAGCCTTGTTTCAATTAGCCTTAATTTCATCCGATTGCTTCGAGTCGTTTTTTCAATCGGTTAAGTATGGCTCGATCGTTTGCCCCGGTCGTTTGCCGGCGGAAGTTCCATGGAAAAGGCATTAAACCTGAGACTTTTCGCCAAATCACGTGACCATCCTCAATGGCATAGTGGCTATGTGAGGTCGTGTCAGCCCGAAGGTACCGGGTTCAAATTCTGCTGAGGACCTTCTTTTTCCTTTCTTCCCTTTTTTTTTTCTTTTTTGTTTTGTCTTGTTTGCCTATTTGTTTTGCTGTTTTTTTTGTTTTTTTGTTTTTAAACATATACTTAAATAACTGTTACTAAAGTGCAATAAACAGCAAGAAAAGTATTGTGTTTCCAGAACAAGGATAGTATATTTATCATCTGAATTTCTATCATTTCCTAAAATTCACTGTGGGAAAACCAGAGGTGATAACTACTTGATTATTTTCTAAACCACGTACCCACGAGTTGATGATAGTCTTTCTTTGATTATATTTTCACGCTCTGCCTCTCAGTTCGCATTTTTTGTCAGTTGATCAATATGCCGAACATACTTCCATTTCAATGATGTACCGCGATGTCCTTCAACCTTTAATCTGTTTTATGTTGTTCTGTGTGCACATCTCAAGTTGATCTTGGGGGCTGAAATTGATAATTTGCCGAAAGTCGAGGAGCCCCTATAGCAAAGGCTGTCTTACAAACCTCGACTGGGCATCGATCAACTACCTAACTGAATGTCTTAAAAAGAGAATGGTGCGTAATTTTAAAAACCAAAAATAACTATAACTTTTGTGCGCACAATAACGAATTGCATATGCTAGTATTAGAATGATGTTTATACACAGTTTATGAAAACAGAGGTGTTTGAGAAACTAGAGAGCTGAAGACCAACTTGAGTTCACATGTACACTCGCGGCTCCAAAGAAGTATTAGTTATACCAACATGAATGTGCGAGGGCGAAACGTTTCTCCCTTGCACGCTGTTAAACTAGAAACTTGATACTTCGGACGTGACGCTTTCCCAGGTATTTTGCTCGCGAGGGGAAGGAACATGCATCCCAGCAAACTAAACGCATGTGTTACATACTAGCTGTCATAGGTAAACGCACCAGGGTAATATGCTATTGATGAATCCTGTTTATTTTGTCTCGTTGGGTTAGTATACAAAAGCTAAGAAACGGCGATGAAGAGTGCGAAGCCGGTGTTGGTGCAATAAGGTTTGCATACAAGAAAGATGAACTCGATCATCTCAACAGGTGATCTTTTCTCGTCCAAAAGGATCATTAGTCATCCACGCAAGCAATAGGTAAACTGGAACTACATTTATCACAAAAATGAAAATGGTTTTGCCTTGTAAGGGATTTACAACACGGTGTGGACAACTGCGCCACCTTATCAGCTTCGAAAACGCTTGTGACCCGTATCGTTTTCAAAAAGAGCATCGTGATACATATACTGAGAACGTAATAGCGCAAAGTTGTTGCTGCACTGCAGAGGAAATTGCTGGGCTCAGAAGGTTGAAGTACGGCTAATGTAAAGAGAACTGCGCTGCCAAACAGTAACAAAAAAGAGATCTCTCCACTAGACTTGTTTGACTTTGTTTCTGGCTCACACCTGGCGCAGAAGGAAGATCCTATTGCCATGCTGATAGTCCCCTGTAGGCACTTAATACAGTCCCAACAGCGTGGTGCAGTGATATCCTTTTGGGTATCAGGTAAGCATTTTGATGAAAAGAATGACACTGGCCTTTTGAGAGTTTTCCATCGTAAGCTAGAAACATTCTTACCGCCTCCCGTAAACTCTTTTCTTGACTTCCTCCATTTAGCCCTTTTTCGATTACCAAATATTGGGACAGAATCCATCACGAAATTTAGTAATTTCACTTTTCAGTGGACAAACACCTTGTACCAGAATAATTTAAACAATGTCGTATTCTTTTTTACATTTTTCAAGGGCATAGATATTATTAGTTATCTGTAATAACACCAAAGACTATTTCTCATGGGAGCCCGAGAAAATAAATGTCCAATTTCACGAGAGTTGTGAAAACACAGGTAAATTCTGAAAATTTCATGTGTAATATTTGATATTTATTTTCTCGAGCTTTCATAACAAATTTGTTTGGGTGTTTTTATAGATAACTAATAACATCAAGAGCCCTTAAAAATATGAAAGCGAATGCGATGTTTAAATCATTCTGGTACAAGGTTTTTGTCCACTAAAAATTAAAATCACTCAATTTCCTGGGGGATTCTGTCTTAAGTACTGTTAGGGTAGTTTCCCTCTATTATGCGTGAGAAAGCTGAACTACAGGCAGTATAGAAAGGAATGGAATGAATCGGTATGTCGTGGCCTAGAGGACAAAACGACGGGCGTACTTTACATTATATAGTCACTTGTTAACAGTAGCTGGAACTTCCGTATACAAGGGCTGTGCTGGCAACAGCTATCAGTACATTTATGAGCTTACTGTTACCAACCCATAGTCATGATATGAATGATGCATGAAAGCTAGACCACATTCCCAGGAAAGTTCCCCTAACCTTTTTGAACAGTGTGGTAGGTTCTTTTACGTCCCCTTCAAGTTGACTAATGAAAGAAGGACTAAGGGGACAAGGCCAACGGCTTAACTTCACCGCCCAATGACGCGATCATCTGATTTGACAAATCTCAAATCACAGTCACCATGATTTCACCAGTTGTTTTTTTTTTAAGACCCTTGTTGTTGGTCTGGCCGGGGCTTGAACCCACGACCTGTTGCTCGGCACGCCTGTTCTCTCCCATCTGAGCTTACCGGGTGGCAGTAAAGCTAACTGGCAGTGGTAATTAGTTTGTGGTTTTGAATTTTGCTCGTTTAGTGATTGGTCACAATGTAATCAACATTCCCTAAATATTTCAAGTGCTCACGACTTCCTGAGTTTGACAGTATAACAAGCTTAGTTCGCACGGTTTATGACCATCTGGTTACCAAGTAAGAGGGTTAAGGTATGCTGATTTTTTGTTATACCTTGTGCGTTGAAGAACCGTGCAGTTTACAGTAAGGAGAATGAGTTTTCAATTCCTCTTTTCTGCCCCAGTTGTTCAAAAGGTGGATAACGTAAAAACCTCTATCAAGCGGATAACACTATTAAATTGGTTTCCCCGATATCTATGCGATTTATGACATGATGGTGGTGGTGGTAGCGGTGATGCTGATGGTCATGATGATTATGATGAACCTCCCAACTGACTGTCCTTTATAATTCGTTTTCCACACTTTTAACGTATGGCTCATAAAGTAAATACTATCGAGTGAGTGGAGTAAAGGTTCATTGCTAAAGAGGCTTCTTCAACATAGTCAAAGGCTTGGAAAGCACATGTGCCCATAATTACTCATGGACGTAAAGATACTGACTTTTAACAGTAACACTGTATCTTTAATGTTCCTTAGTCTTCCACGAGGGCTATAAAAATGATTAATTATTAATTATGGTACCTATTGGCTTAGAATGGCTTCGCTTTTCCGAAACGACTTCCTTCACTTTTTCAGCATTTGAGGGGACAGGTGATCCGAAAAATTGCGTCCATTTTCAGTTTGGAAAATGCGCAAAGCCGGTGTTGGTGTAATAAGGTTTTGCACAAAAGAAAGATGGCGATGTACTCATCTGAACGGATGATCTTTCGCGTCCAGGAGGATCTGTAGACATCCACAGAATCAACAGGGATACTGGAACTGCATTCACTGCAGAAATAAAGATGATTCCCCTTGTCAGCGTTTTGTAAGAGGATATAAACAACTAGGCCACTTTGTTGACCCTAAACCAATTGTGATCCGCATCGTTTTCGTGAAGAGCACTGTAACATAGAGATTGAGGGCAAAATAACGCCAGAAAGTTGATGCAATGCAAAGTAAATTGCTGGGTTCAGAAACGTTGAGGACGGCTAGTATATGAAGACCTGAGATGCCAAAGAGCAGCAGAAAAGAGAACTCTATGTTGGAAGCCTTCACGATTGGGCTGTTATTAAACTTGCTATAGATGCCGCAAGCTAAGATGGTGAGAATTAATCCTATGGAGGCCACCACTGTTGTGATCAATCCTGCGGGAATTGTGGGAGTGATGTTTAGCTTGGGTAGTTTTTCACACCTGCTGCCATCACTACTTGGCTTTGTCTCAGGCTCACATGCTTTGCAACTGTTGGATCCGAACTCGGCGCTGACGGATTCTTGAGGACACTTAATTAAGGCAATCCCAACAACATAGCGAGGTGATCTCCTTTTGAATGCCTGGCAAGCATTCAGTTGAACAGGAAGACACCGAAGTGGACAGTGTTTTCTGAACGTAAATTCGTTGTATCTATCTTGAGTTTAGGCGTGCTGTCCTTGTTCCAAGTTCCCATCGTGACCTTTCTGAGACGTGTTTCTGTGGCTGGTGAAAGTTGGATGTTTATGATGCTGTATAAAGCAGAGAAAGGATCTCAAAACCTATGAAATCGCACTTTTCCGGTCAAACCATCAAAACTGTCGTTGCTGAGGTACTTTTGTAGATCACGTCCCTTAATTGTCGGATGGACTGAAGGACAACTATCTCCAATTCGAAAACCTTGTTCATCAGTGCAGCGGTAAATTAAAAAAAAAATTCCAGAGCATAAGCAATAGCGTACAGAGCATCAATGACATACGATATGAAGGGGCTGCGTAGAATAGAAAGTTCTTGGTCTAGCTTGTGATTTGCCTTGCAAATTGCAATCCCCATATCAGTCGATTTGGCTATTGAAACTTATTGAACAGTTAACCTGCCATCGCCAGAATTCTCTCCACCATTGTACGTCGCGCTCGACGCTTTCTGCTCATGTGATGCTCTTAACGTGTTCCTCAAATGCCGGAACAGGATAGTCATGCATCTATTACCAGTGACCCATTGAGAATCGTGAAGCGAGGGTCCGAGAGAAGTCTCTCTTCGATAATTCTTTCGTCGCTCATTATTAAACTCTCTTGCCATTAAGCCAAACGATGATCACTCCTATTGTGCGGTGCTTTTTCATTCTAGCAACGATCTGTTAGCTATCTGTTCCATGTTGCCGCGGTAGTCTAGGCGAGGGATAAACTCATTGAAAGCAATGCAGAACGTTTTGCTATTGTACTATTCTCTTTCCAGCGCTAAAATTCCATTCCTTCCATAAGAATTATCCAAACCAATAACTGCCACGTATGTCCAGTTAAAGCGCTCTATGAAGTCTGTCATGGCCTTTGCTATCCACGTATCAGAAGAAACCAGCGACCTGAAGTAGGCTTGCTATCAGGATGGTACCGGCGGAATCATAAGTACCGATAAGCGCTGAGATGGGCATGAACCCACCCTCTTACTGAACTGCTCTCTGTAGACATGGAGGAGTTCGATTTACACATAAAAACTGGACCGCTATTACGCTTGAAGTCAAAGGCTTCTTGCATGCCCAGTACCCGACTGTCACAGTAGTTTCTTATGTCATAACCGAGGGACACGTTTGCCAAAAGACTTGAATTCTTGTTTACCATATCAATAGCAAAGATGACAGCGTCAGCAAGTCCAAATTCTTTAGCGGAAAATTCGCCACTCATGTGGAGACTGATTAGGCCCCCTAACATTACGTCACCATCTTTATAGGCTCTCAACCCCTGGTTGCAGGACATGCAGTGTCCACATAGTACAACAAAGAGAGTCGCCTTGCGATGCAGTAGGGAACAGTTTTGCTTGTCAAGTCATCATCCTTATTCTTTCTTGCCTACAATGAGTTAAGTAGTGAGCTAGCCACCCATTAGTACTTCACCATCTATCTCTAAATTTCATCAAGAGATCCAAGAATCTAAACTTTTTGATATGATTGCATTTAATGGTTGAGCCTAATTTAAGACTAAGCACTAGAAATTTATTCATTCCCAAGATCTGAAGACGAATGGTGTGAAATGTTTAGGAGGGCACTTTGTGAAATGACAAAATTTATGTAAGACAACCAATTTTACATAATTTTCTTGGCCGAGCATCATTTCAAACTCATTTATCAGTGACACGTTAGATAAACAGCTGGACACAGGCAAACAAAAAGTAAGAAAAGGAGGCAGCACGCTGGCAGTAGTATTTGATAAAGAGGACTCCTTCAGCTGGAATGGTTTTTCGAGTACAAACAGCCAAGAAGGTAGAAAGTCCAAGTCCCAAGGCTGCTTTTTTCATAGCAATTTAAGGATAAATGTTCTTAACCATTACGTTACTTTCGATCGCTAGCGCATCTTTTGTTTCTCTTAAGTTTAAATTATTGTTAATGGTGTCTTCGACAAAGTAAAAAAATCTAACAATTAAGTTGGGGGCAAAAGCGTACGGTGCATTGCAATGAATTATGTTAAGCTACAAAAGAATCAATGGTGTTGACTCGTGTTTGTGCAGTGCGGTTCAGAATATGTTCCCACAAGCATCGGTTGTATTTCAGCTCTCTTAGCTTGACGCTTCTGTTTGACAGATGATCCCCATGTCTAAAGCCAAAAATTCTCTTAAAAGCATCTTCAAGCAACTGAAGGTTGGGATTGTTTATCCTTGGACGACCTCCAGCAGAAATAAAAGCGACATATTCTTTTTTTGTGGAATAATTTTTATTGGTGATAGATTGTAGAAAGTATATAACTTGAATTAAGTCGTATTTGTTAAGTTACAAAAACTTTTTTTTTAATGCGGTGTGTTATCACCTTAAATAAATGGAACGTTAACTTTTTGTGGCTTTCAAGCTAATGTAACTGATTTTACAATCATGGTATCCTATATCAATATTGTCGGTTATACAAAATTTGTTATATCCACCTGCCTTATTTTCCTTAATTGGAAATTCATGTAAGCTAAGCTATGGACAAGAACTGGCGCCAGAGAAAACGAATATGACTAATTGAGACTTCTGTTTCCCATTTTTGTTGATGTTGACTAGTATATCTTTTTGGACGGCTTAGTGTGTGGTATCGTGGGATTTTTTTACGGGTCACACCGTATTTTAGAGAGCCCCTAGGGCAAGTCAAAATACGAGAGACGAGTGAAGCTTAGTTGCATCTAGTTAGCAGAATAATATGCAAAACTATTGCAGATCTCATTTTTAGCCATTTCCTTGTTAATTGGCGTAAAGCCGGTCCAAATAGGAGGTTTTGGTTAAAATATGCTGCTTTTGCCCCTTTTAAATTTCGCATTGCAAGATTTTAACAATAACTGGTGTTATCTTTATTTTGCCTTACACTCCAATGAGGGGTATAAAAATGACTAATTATGTATTATAATACGTATTGGCTTAGTGTGGTCTTTTTTCTTAAACGACTTCATGTAGGTTTTCCGAATTTGTGAAGATAGTGATTTGTTTTATTTGTTGGTTCTGTTTCGTGCAACGAACCTAAATCATCATTTACACTCCCAAAAAGGTCTTGCTGCTGTAATAACAACGTTTTTCGTTCTTATGCGGTCAAGATCACTTCAGACATGTCAATCTGCTTAATAAAATCATCTTACCGTGGCAGTCTCTTTTGGACTTGTCTTGGTTGTATCAATTAAAAGATTGGATTTTACGTATTATTTTTGTAGTACCTCTGTATTATTAAAAAAAAGCCCCGCAGATTCCATGATGACTGAGGCTGAGCTAATCACCAGTACATTTACTGTGAACGCCCAAAATGTTTTATAAATGTTGAGTGAGAGTTGAGTTGCGAAGAAAAAGCTAATCAGGCTTAAGTCAACTAAACGCCAGCAGCAATGTTAATGGCTTTGCGGTTTTGAGGTTTGCTCGTTTTGTTATTGGTCATGATCACGAATGAAATATTTCAGGAATGTTGATTGCCCATGTAAGGTGATCCGGATTCCGGAATCCGGGTAATGTTTTCTTGTGTAATCCGGAATCCTGGGCTTTGGAATCCGGAATGCAGATCAAGGATTTCGGAAGTCTCATGGAATCCGGCATCCAATATTAAAATGAATCCGGATTCCAGTACCTGGAAACGGGAATCAACGGCGTGGAATTCAAACCCCATTTACTTGCGCTAGAAAAATTGGCACAGCACGCCAAATTTTTGGCACCGTACCTCGTTTACCCGTGCCGAGACTACCTCCGGCACCCTTAGAATTTTGAGCACTGGTGCCATATTACATTTGGGACCGATACGTTTACACGTCGAGGTGGGAGTGCCGTGCCTTAAAATCGTCAACACGGTGCCAAAAATTTGACGTGCCGTGCCGATTTTTTTTAGCGCGTGTAAATGGGGTTTCAGAATGTAAGACTTTCTCTTGGATTCCTTTAAACGGAACGCGGTGTTAACAGTTTTTCTGCCAGTAACATGCTTGATTTGCATGGTCAATGGTCATCTGGGTGCCAGTAAACAGGGTTAAGGTATGCTCGGTGTGTACAATCGTGTGAGTTAAAAAACTTTGCTGTTTACAGTAAGGAGGATAAATTGTCAAGTCCTCTCTTTTTATGTCGTGGAATTCACTGGATGTTGAACCTATAATGGAAAAAATTCTCCCACACACCGTAGAAAGATGATCATGATAATGATGGTGAACCTACCAACTGACTGCCTATTATAACTGTTTTTTTTTTTTCACCCCCAGGTAAAAAGTTTCATTTTATCATATGATAGAAATTAATATTACCGAGTGAAATTAAAGTACTAAAGAGGCTTTTTACACAAACTCAAAAGTTAGAAAAGCACGTGTGTTTACAATTGCCGCTGGGCGTAAAGGCATTAACCGCTTGGCTATGGATAGGGACATTATAGAACGATGCAGATCATGCATACCTGAACCAACTTAGCCTTCAGTTTAAGTGACTAAGTAGGTAAGCAACGAATGTTGGAGGGACAGATCTTTGTATGTGCGGTGCTTGAAAACCTAAACAAGGTCTTGAAAATAGCCCACCTTAATGCGGAGCTCCTGAAATGTAGACAACACTTTTTTCCAACAAAGGAGTTGGCCTTGGAAAATGATTTTGACATCCTATCCATCTCAGAAACCTGGCTCAACTCTTATGTGACTAATGCTAGTGTGGAGATTTCTGGGTACAGGATCTTTAGGCTTGATCGCATTGGAAAAACAGGTGCCGGGGTCTGTGCCTACGTCAAATCTGTCCTGAAGGATCTCACGGGAATAACCGAGTCTGGCCTACATCAATTGTGGATTCAAGTGCAAAAACAAGAAGCTACTGGTGTTTATTATTTATAGACCTCATGAAATTGGAGTCGCGTGTCTTGAGAATGAATTGATGCCCAAGTACATCCAGGCTTTATCACTTAACAGGGACATCGTGGTAACTGGCGACTTAAACTGCCATCTCCTCTCAGAAAACCCTTGAGGAGACGCGTTGCGCTCCTTTTGCGCAACTGTAAATGTTACGCAGCTTATAGATAAACCAACTAGAGTAACAGAAACATCACGCAGTTTACTGGATATCATCATGGTTTCCAACCCTGGACTAGTAACTATAAGCGATCATTTCTTAGTCTTCGTTGACATCAATCAAAAATCACCTAAGCAAGCCCCCACTTACGTTGTTACGCGTAGCTTTCGTAACTACAAAGCTGACCAGTTTGCAACCGACATCGCCCATATCCCGTGGGATACTGTTAACTTAGGGATTCACTTGATGATAGGCCCGATGAGTTCAATGATTTATTTTTGGCTTGCTTAGGAAACCATGCCCCTGTTAGGACAGTGTGGAAATACGACACAAACCAAATCCATTTATCACGGAGGACATAAGGGATTTGATGAAAAAAAGAGATTGTCTGCACCAAAGAGCGCGTAAGACTGGGACCAAGGAGGACTGGAAAGTTCTTGGGGAGCCGCGAAATAGGGTGAAAGAGGCGTTACGAGAGGCAGAACGGGAATACTATAACTAGGAAATTTGCGAAAATAAGAACAACTGCGGGGCAATTTGGAAAACCATTCGCAGCGCTCTTCCAAACAAGACAGGTCGCGCGAGCTTCACCAAAGATACAGATACACTTGCTAATGAATTCAATCACTTTTTTATACCTTTGGGAGAGAAGGTAGCTCGTGACCTTTCGTTTGCCAGCTCCGCTTTCCCTAGGGCCTGGAAGAAATCAGTGGTGGTGCTGCACCTTAAGCATGGAGATTATGAGATTCCTAATAACAACCGTCCGATCTCCTTACTTCCCGTACTTTCCAAATTGACCGACAAGAAACTCAACAAGGCAACCTAACATGCCACCAGAGTGGAAATCGCAAATACCACTCTACCGAAACCACGAGTCTGCTTGTTTCTGGTCACATTTTCAAAGCAATGGACAAGAAGGAGATAAAGGGTATGGTCCTGATCGATCTAAGCAAGGCATTTTATATCATATGTCACAGGACACTCCTTCTTTAGTTGCAAGGGCTGGGTGCGTCAAGTAAAGCGTCCAAGTGGTTTCAGAGCTACCTTACCAACCGTATGCAGTCAACACGACTAGGAACATCCCGCTCTGAGGAGCTTATCGTTACACATGGCGCACCTTAGGGGTCCATTTTAGGGCCGCTCCCGTTCAGTCTCTACATGAATGACTTACCTCCGTTGTCAAAGTGTCGAGTCATATGTCGATGATACCAAGGTTTACCTTTCGTTCTCATCCAAGGACATTGACTCCTGCCTGACAAAAGTCACCGAAGATCTTTGTCTCATCGCCGCCTGGTGCTGTACTAATAAGCTACTCATCAATCCTAGTAAAACCAAACTTATTTTGTTTGAAATGCGACAGCTATTAAGTAAAATTCCGGATGTCAGAGTTCCTTTTCTTGGCCAAAACCTCGCTCCCGGACCCTTAGTCAAAGACCTGGGTATCATACTAGACTCGAACCTTACATTTAATGAACATGTAAATACATTGACATACATTGACTTCGTCCCTTATCGCTTCTCTGTGTCAGGTAAGCAAAGTTAGGCATCTATTTTCCAAATCAGTACTCTTCAACATTTTGAATTGCTTGGTTTTTAGTAAGCGCTTTTATTGTTCTACTATATGGTCTGGCACTTTTAAGCAGAACATTCATAAACTGCAACTTGTACAAAATTTTGCTGCTCGAGTTTTAACTAATACTAGGAAGTTCGACCACATCTCACCAGTCCTGCGAGAACCGGGTTGGTCCTCTATTAAACATCTGCTGTTAGTACGCGATGTCACACAGTTGTACAAAATAGTGAATGGACTTGCGCCCTCCTATCTAAATAGCTACATCAAAAAAAGAACAGGAATCCATAGTTATAATACCAGATTCAGGGAAAATCTAGACGTTCCTATGTGTAGGCCAGCCACTGCACAACGTTCCTTTCACTATCGGTCTATCAACACTTGGAACTCGCTAAGCGCAAGCACAAGAAATAGTAAAACGCTCACTAGAACTAGGTGACTGATGGCATGACTAAAACAGTGTTTATATATATGTCATAGTGGGAGCATTTTTAAGTCAATAATAAGTATACGTATATGTATATAGTATACACGATATATTATCGTAGCTATTTCTTAATTTAATTTTATTCCCATTTTTCCATTTATTATTAACAATTAGATTTGTAAATTAGTCTTTTTCTCCTTCTTCTTTCTTTGTTCCATTTTGTAAATTAAATCGGAATAGCCAAGTAGTGGAGATTTAATAAAGATACTGTACTGTACTGTATAAATACCTCGTCATTTTGCAAATTCTGACCAATCCCGACAGAGTTACACACCATAGTCTAACATTTTTTGCAAAAATACACTGCCAATTTTGCTATTCACCAACTACACTTTCGAGATAAATTTCTCCCTTTTATGGAACGTTAAACAGCCACAATTTCGTAGGAAAGAGGGACGATAATGCGGGCAACAAAACAAGTTAAAGAAAATATAGAAAGAGATTCGCCTAAACAGTCCAACTTTGGATTCAGGAGCGGGTTGGTTAAAAAATGCAGCTTTTGCGCTGTTTAAATTCTGTATAAGGGTTCGACAATAACATGATATCTTTATTTTGCCTTACCCTCCTGTGAGGGCTATATAAATAACTAGTTATGAATTATGATTCCGTATTTGCTTGGTGAGGCTATCCTTTTCTCAAACGACTTCAAGCACATTTCAGATTTTGAGGGGACAGAGATTTGTTCTACCTTTGGAAGTTAACTTGGCCCTACCAGCTGCTTAGTGCACCTTAATTGCCCAACTCTACAAGGCGTGCATGCCTCTGAATCGAATTCGCGTTCTCTGATTAGCTAACTTTGTACAAAGATCGTTGCGATCTGGCAATGACAGATTTTACGTGCTATTATATCCATAAATTTCGGATCAGTTCGGTTCAATTCAGGCAATATTCTTTTAGCCACAGTCAGAGGTTACGCCACTAGTTTGTTCCCGCTCATGCGGTCACTTTTGGGCCTTGTCCGTGTCAGACTATCCTCTGTGGTTGTGCCACTGTTTCTAGTCACGGTCCTCCTGTGCTCCTCTTTACCTGTCAAAGTCTTTTCAAGTTCGTCAATCAGTGCATCTTGGTGTATATATATTAAGGTGCCAGAAGATCAATATTCCTATCCGACTTTCATCACGAATATCCTTTTCTGGACATTTTTGTGCTCTTTATGGTTTTGATAATGTCTAATGTGCGCCAAGACGCCAAGGCCTCGTGGCAAACCACTTCTTGGTCTCAATCAACTATCTTAAGTCCACCAAGGTCTTTTAATCGAGTTTCAGTTAATCAAAAAAGTAACTTAGGTTAAAAAACGATTTTAAATGAGACTGTTTAAATTATTTTATTCCCTATATCTACTCAACGTTTGGTAAACTTGAGAAACAAAACCTACTATAATTTACTTGTACAAGCCCTTCCGTTTTCTGGCTCTAGAGTGGGGTTAGGTGTCCCGACATTGACGGGCTTGAGCAGAACTCTTGTTCCTGCTACGCTGTCAAACGAAAAACTCGTCACCTGCGATCTGACGTGTTCCACCGTGTTTCGCTGTGGGCGGAAAAGGAGGATGTAGACTTTTGGTCCGAACATGCAACCCAACAAACCAAGCGAAGTTACTAACGTCGTTAGGCAAGACACCAGTGTTACGTACCTGCTCTCAAACGTAAACGCCACTGGGTAATATGCTATTGATGACAACAGTAGAATGTACATAGAGAATCCTATGTATTTTGTCTCGTTAAAGTTCTCAGGAATGCCTCGTCCTTTGAAAGCGTAGTACGTACACAAGAGAGCCACAGTAATTATGTAACAAGAAACGGTGATGAAGAGTGCGAAGCCAGTGTCGGTGTAATAAGGTTTGCACAGAAGAAAGATGTACTCATCTGAACGGATGATCTTCTCGCGCCCAGGCGGATCAGTAGACATCCACAGTCCCAACAGAGAAGTTGGGACTAGATTCACGACAGAAGTAAAGATGATTTGCCTTCCCTGAGTTTTATAACACGGTGTAAACAACTGGGCAACTTTGTCGACCCCAAACACGCTTGTAATCCGCATCGTTTTCGTAAAGAGCACTGTAACACACAGATTGAGGACAAAATAACGCCAGAAAGTTGCTGCAATGCAAAGTATACTGCTGGGCTGAGAAAGGTCGAGGACGGCTAGTATATGAAGACCTGAGATGCCAAAGAGTAACAGAAAAGAAATCACTCTGTTAGAAGCCTTCACGATAGGGGTGTTATGAAACTTGACATAGATACGGCAAGTTAACAAGGTGAGAATGAATCCGATGGAAGCTGTAACTGTTATGACCATTCCCGCGGGGGTTGTGAGAGTGATGTTTAAGACAGGTAATTTTTCACACCTGGTGCCCTCATTGTTTGGCTTTGTCGCTGGCTCACACGCTGTGCAGCTCGTGGATCCGATCTCGGCGCTGATGGTTCCTTGAGGACACTTAACACAGTCCCAACAACAAGGCGATTTGCTTTCCTTTGTTGTGCCTGGTAGGCATTGAGATGAACAGAAAGACATCGGAGTTGACAGTGTTTTCCAACGTAAATGCGATGTATTTATCTTGAGTTTAGGCACGCTGTCCTTGTTCCAAGTTCCCACCGTAACCTTTCTAAGACGTGTTCCTGTGGATGATGAACATTGGAAGTTCATGATGCTGTATGAAGCAGAGAAAGGATCCCCAAAACTATCAAATCGCACTTTTCCGGTCAAACCATCAAAACTAACGTTCCTGAGATAGCTGTGTAGATCGCGTCCCTTAATCGTCGGATGGACCGAAGGACAACTATTTGCATTTCGAAAACCTTGTTCAGCCGTGCAGCGGTAAATGTTATCCAAAGCATATGCTATGGCGTACACAGCATCAATAGTATAAGACACGTAGGGGCTGAGGAACTTAAAAAGAGCACGTTCCAGAGTGAGATTGGCCTTACAAGGGGCAACCCCGAAATCAATCGATTCGGTAATTGAACAGTTGAATTGCGATCGCCATATTTCTCTCCACCATTTTACGTCGCGCTGGGCGCTTTTTGCAGGAGTAATACTCTTAACGTGCTCCTTAAATGCTTGAACAGGATAGTAGTATGACTCTATTAGCAGTGAACCATTGAGAATGGAGAAACGTGGGTCCGAGAGAAATTTTTCGTCGTAAGAGCCTCCATCGCTCATTAGCAAAGTCTTTCCTTGTAAGCCTTCTTTGGTTGCCTCCATTAAGAATTTCTCGAGATATTTGTCGTAAAGCCAGACGATGATTACTCCGATTCCAGGGTGCATGTTGATTCTGGCAACTATCTTTTCTATGTTCTCGCGGTAGTCTAGTCGCGAGATTAACTCATAAAAAGCGATGCAGAATGTATTATTCTTGAACGATTCTTTTTCTAGCGCCAAAATTCCGTTTAGTCCATAAGAGTCCTCTAACCCAACAGCTGCCACGTATGTCCAGTTAAAGCGCTCTATGATGTCTGCCATGACCTTTGCTCGCCACTTATCGGAAGGGATTGTCCTTAAATAGTCTTTGTAAAATTGTGAACTCAACTCTGAGCTTGTTGTAATTGAGCTAATGGCAGGGATGTCAGCGACCTGAAGTAGGCTTGCTACCAGGACCGCGCTGGCGGAATTGGAAGGACCGATAAGCGCTGAGATGGGCTTTGACCCGGTAGACCAAATAATGGAACTGTTCCCAAAAGACATGGTGGAGTTCGATTTATGCATACATACTGGATCGCTATTACGCTTGAAGTCATAAGCTATCTTCATAGCCAGTGCCCCAATGTCACAGTAGTTTCTTATGTCATATCCGAGGGACACGTTTGGTAGAAGACTGGAATTCTTGTTTACGCTATTAATAGCAAAAATGACAGCTTCGGCGAATCCAAATTCTCTAGGATTAACTTCCCACTGTTTATCGTGGGTAATCATATGGAGACTAAAAAGGCCACCCAACATTACGTCGCCATCTTTATAAGCTCTCAGTTCTTGGTTGCAAGACGTGCAGTACCCAAAGACCAAAACAAAGAGAGTCAGTCTGAAAACGCAGGAGGAAACCGTTTTTCTTGTCCAAGTTATCATCCTTATTCTTGTTGCCTAAAACAAAGTAGTTAGTGAGCTAGCCACCCAGTAGTACGTCACCATCTATCTCTGAATTTCATCAAGAGAACTGAGAATCTAAGCTGGTTTGTGGTTTGTATATTTTGTATGACCCTACCTCAAGACTAAGAACCAGCAATTCATTCATTCCTAAGGGAGCACGTCGTGAAATGCCAAAATTCACATAAGACAACCAGAGGAATCAAAGTCATTTAGTTTTCAAGACACCACTACCGGACCATTTTTAGTAGTCTTAGAGGGTCAGAATTAAGCCCCGTTGGTGTATAGGTATACGTATAGCTATGTATAAATCATTTATAGTCACATACCTTCTTGCATACTAATTTGGTATAGGTATAGGTATAGGTATAGGTATAGGTAAATCATTTATAATCACATTCCTTCCCGCATACTAATTCGGTATAGGTTTACTAATGAGCGTCTCCCTTATTCAATAGAAACGATAGGCTTGCCTCGGCTTGCCCGGTAAGTAACTTGAGCTCGGTTTTCAGACCGTCTATGAATAGGAATAAGAGAAGCGATCACCTAGCAACGCGAGAAACGGCTTCCTATATCTTATTCAGCGCTAAAACTCGGATATATATAAACAAAACACATACACAAAGTAGAACTGAAAACTCTCTATTTCAATTTTGTCTGACGTTTTCTCCTATCTATCTCGAGGAAATGAAAAACTATTACAGTCTCAGCATTTCACACACCGTTAGTCAGTTAATTATGCGAGTTTGCAAGCCCAAAGTTGAATACAAATTAGCTCTACAGGAAAGACCCAAGGGAGCACCTTGACCTATTATTATATAAACAAGTTTAAATAACTTAACAAGGATCAATTGAAACACGCGAATAATAATTGCTAGCAATAAAACCACAAGAGAGATACCGTTTTAAAAACTTTATTAAAAAACAATGACAAAAAGAGTCAAATACACAGCGATTTGTAAGGGATGGAAATTAATTAATCTTCATCTTCTTCGCCCATGGAGTACTTGTAAGGTTTGAATTTCTTATGCCGACGTTTCCTCAGCTGTTTGGCATGAGCTTTATGATCATCCAAATAATTTACAAATTGAATCCGACGCCTTTTGCGCTTTGGGCCTTTTTGTGATGGGGTTTCTACTGTGGGAGGAGGGGTCAGGAAAGCAGGATTTAAGGGTGGTGGAGGGGTGAGGCTTTCTTTGTCAGGTTTTTGAGAGAGAGCCACTTGTGTTAATTCAGGTGTTACATTAAAGGGGTTGAGGGGAGTGGAGAACGGTGTCGTTGCTGTCGAAGAATCTTGTGTCCTTGATGTTAAGTCTGGAACAGTGCTGATTATTTCTTTCGGTCGTGTTCTTGTATTTAATTGTTCTTTAAAAGCCAGGCATCTGTTTGGCAGCTGAAAGTATCGTTTAGCTTTTTCATCGTCCCAAAGATCGTTTCGAGAAAGCACGTCATCCATGTTGCCTTGTATTTCTTGCATAGCTGGAAGAAGCGGGACAGGCGAAAGAGTTTGCTGCTTCAGATATTTTAGAAGCTCTTGAGGAATACTTTCTTGAAAGCCTGCCTGGTTAAACCCTTCTTCACTGGGCAGGACGTTTGTTCGCAACCGACAATTATCTTGGGTAGTAGTTTTCAGATCAATCAGAAGATAACCAAAAGGTCTTTTTACAGCCTCTTCGTACTGATTTAAAAAGAAATCCGTCTGCCCGGGATACATTTGCTTGGCCAGAGTCAAGATTTGCAATTTGTCGCGTGGATTCTTAAATAACACCAGATAATGGCTGTTTAGGCTTATGCTGCGGCTACCTTTCCCCTGATGAAATAGAATCTGCACGATATAAATCACGCTCAGATTGCGATGATGAGAACCACGAGTAAAGAGGTTCACAATTCGCTTGTCTTTACTGGCGTCAATCATCTGATCATCAAACACGATCAAATTCCGTTTGTTCACATCAAAATAGGAATCCTGCTCCAAAGCCGTAGCAATTCCCGTGACGAATTCAATGTGTGGCATGGCGACTAACATTTGTGTATACGCAGGCTGCCATTGTGAATAACACCAAACGATCCTCTCCGGGGGAGGGTAAATGGTCTTTGAAGCTTGTTGCAATAGAGATCGAACCCAGGCCGTTTCTCCGGACCCGGTCATTCCGGCAATCATGGAGGTGAAAGGACGCTCGACGCGAAACCCCTGACATTTCTGTGAAAACACTGGAACTGTTTGAAATGGGACGAGACCAGCATTGCGGTGTTGAGACATCACGTGCCTTTGCATATTATATTTTTTACTGAAGGATTTTTCGCGGACAGAGCAGAGCCAACTCATGTCAACTCCTCAGGAGCAAAATGTAGACTGAGAAAGAGGTAGATTGCGCATTTATATAGGTTTTCAGGCCATAAAATTCTATTTTTTCCTCCACCACTACCGCCACCACATTTCAATTGTAATCTCTCGACCACCACCACTACCATCACCACCACCACCACCACCACAATTCTATTGTTTTCTTTCCACCACCATCACCAACACCACCGCCATCACATTTCAATTGTTTTCCCTCCACCGCCACCACATTTCTATTGTTTTCCTCCACCACCACCGCCACCACATTTGTATTGTTTTCCCTCCACCACCACCACCACCGCCACCACATTTGTATTGTTTTCCCTCCACCATCACCGCCACCACATTTCTATTGTTTTCCCTCCACCACCACCACAATTGTATTGTTTTCCCTCCACCACCACCACATTTCTATAATAATAAAATATGTTTTGAGTCATCTTTCCCGCGCACTTCCGGAAAAGCGTGCTTCTGATTTGCTGCATAGTATGGCCGCGTCCAAAGATATTCTTTTCTGGACTCCCAGCGGACAATTACTTCGAAATAAACGCACTATTCCCGTCACAAACATCGCTGAGCTAGTTGAGTATGTGTTACTCCCTCATAACAATAAGGTTACCATGCCTCGTGCGCTGAATACGTTTCTAGATGGACTTGCAGAGTTAGGAATCGATAAAGGTTTAATCAAGAACAAAAAGTTGTTAAGTGATTTAATAGAAAAGGAAAAAGGCTACCAAAATGTAGAAAACACTTCCGATAACGAGAGTAATATATAGATTTAGCCAGGGCTAAAAGCGAAGCTCCTGCTAACTCGAATTTATAATTTGAATCAAACAATTGTAAATTTGTATTCCACAAATCAGTTAACTTTAGAGCACATTCATGTGACTTTTGACGGAAAGGCTAAGTAATTTTAGAGAAAAAAAAATTTGCAAACAGTCCAAGCTAAGAGTGAAATTAATCTTGCATCGACTTGATAACCTTATACGTACACCTAAAAAATAGCATAGCCATAATGGTTCTTGATCACAGTACATTAGGAAAACAAATCAGGCCGAATTTTTTGCGTTCGACAAGTTTACTTTACAAAATCTTGCCAACAAGTCTGGGGACGTATAAACCAACCTTTTATACCTTTTATACATCACATCTGAAGTGAAATAGTACCATGAGGCGCTGTTTTTCTCATACAGACCTCGGACCTCGCGGCATTTTGACTACTCCTGCAAGCTATGTTCATGAGCGACTGAAAACAAACGGCACAACAGCGATCAAAATTGCAAAAGAGACTACTAACAATCAATAATGTTTTAAGCCGGCTTCCCGGTGTTTGCGTTTTTCAAAGATGAACTCGAGGCAAGAAAATCGCTCAAAGCTTTCTTTTACAGCCAGAATTATAACTAAATATTCTTTGGAACGTTTTCTTTCTATTTGCGGTGAGAAAATGTCTGAAGGCTTTTTAAAGTTCTATAAGCTTATAATCAAACCTGATACCCGGTCAGATCATTGTCTCAAATCTTACAAACGTGCATAAACTAAATAGCCCCATAAACTACACTCGACTTCATTGAATTAGATATAAAAAACAAACATCAAATAAAATAATTACTCAGACTTACCATTCGAGATGCACTGAAAACTATCAAGTAAGGCCAAAAGCGCCTCAGACTTTTCAACCCTCTTACGCATCAAGCAAGGTGAAAAACGAAAACGATGCCATCCGAAATCTGATTTCCCACTTTGACAAGCGACGTATTTCTGAACCAACAAGACGCCTGAAGTCGTTTCTGTGGGATGCGTTGGTCTATGGAAGCATAATGGCGTTCTATCTAGGTTAATGGAACAAAACAAAACAAAACTTCCGCTTGCTTTATTCAGGGTCGAACCGAGGGTTACAAAGTTCGATAAAGTTCCAATGTTTTAATCCAAGATGAACGTTTAATATTCCAAGATGCTCTTGATACGGTTAAAAATTAATTGCAATGTGTTTCCAAGGTCTTAAAGTTAACATAGATCCAATGATTATCCCTGATTCCAAGGTATAATAAGTTTACTCATGTCCTGATACGTGTCCCATCCAGAAGTCCAATCCATGCCGAAAGCGAGTCGTCGATCGACGAGGACAATATTTTCGCGATTTCAACGCCAATCGTCAAGGGTACGAGTTGAAATTTACGCGATTTAACCTCCCATTGTCAAGGTGTTTTCGATAAGAAAAGAAAAAAACTGAACTCTAGCTGTTCTCGGCAACAACTGGCGAACTCCGAATAGAAAAATCTATCGGAAATCACCGCCCGCAACCAGACGCTACTAAAACCTTATGAAAAAGCTGGGCCAAAACAAAAAAGAATCATGAAGGAAAGAAACAATTTGGCTTAGGTCGCCTTTCGTGACTTGCCAGTATCCCGAAGGATTTCGCCGGTTAACAAGCCATCCTAAACCACGAGTGGGAAAACTCAAGCGCGACAAGATTTGGCAAGGAACGTTCTGATTTCAACGTTCTTCAGAGGAAGCAAATCGATTAAAAATCGATACAGATTTTGTACAATCTGATTGGTCAGCTTGGAAGAAGAGATAATCGATAAAGATTTTACGCAATCCGATTGGCTGGCTTTGCAATTTTGGGTACACCCGAAGCGGATTTTTACCGTGGGAGTGCCACAGGCATCCCACGGAAAAACCCGATAAACAAACTAGCCATGAATAACAGAAGACCCTTGATGGCAGCTGAATTTCATTTTGTGCAATGTTCAGTGGAAAAAGACAGTTAAAAACATCACAAGTTGACACAAAACTCTGTCAGCTTCAGCTGTCAAAGTGAACAAGATTCAAGATGCTGCATTAATTTTCCGCATGAACTCACCTGTCAAATTTTGACCAATCAGACCATAAAAATTGGACGTAGAGCGTGACCAACGCGTAACCTTGGCGAGAAAAGTCAAAAGCAACTGGCATGTCTTCCCTGCCTGTAAAAACTGGCTGAATCTTAGCTTCCGAGGTCAGTTTGAAATGAAAATTTTAATTGTGCGGCACATATAAAACACAACATATTTCATATGAATTGAAAAAATTAAACTTGAGCCTGCAATCATTTGAAAACTAATGGTGTAACTTGTCAGCGGATAACTTCAAAAAATACTCGACCTCGATGGGTTGACACCTGATCCCGCGATACGGTCAGGTGATACTGGTAAGCGGGACCCTGTTTTGACAGCTTTAAATTGATCACAACGTTGATGTGCAATATGTGTGCAATATCAGTCTTCCAGTGCTCCCAAACTAGCTAAAAAGTGAGGAGGAGATATGAGGAGAGTTCATCGGGCATTGAAAATCAGGAGGAGGAGGAGGAAGTGGCTTCTGAGAATGGCGTTGAAGCTGAAGGCACCCAAGAGAGCGACAACGACAGTGAAAACGACAGTCACCAAACAGAAAGTAGTAGCCCCGAATGTCCACCGCCTTTCTCTCTAAATGTCCTTGTGAACATTGTGAGAACTCTAATGTGTAGTGGACATTGATCATGAAATGTGCT